TCAGTCAATGTGAGACTGTGGGCCAGTTGATGAATCTGCCTCGCCGCGTCCGCTCTTGAAAGAGGAATCTGAACGCTGTTTGCTTCTTCATGTGACTTGCGAGCAGCATGATCTGCAGAATAATTTCCGCTTATACCACAATGCCCAGGTGACCGGTGAAACACACTGTCGTGGCCTTGTATTAAGAGGTGGTGAAGTTTCACGGTTTGGTAGGTCAACTGGTCGTGGCATCCACGTCGGAGAACTGACCGCAGGCACTGTAACGCTGGTTTCGAGTCGGAAAACACGGCATATTTACTTGATAAATCTTGAATTGGCCGGCGTCTTCCTCTACCTGTTAATTGGTAGAACATCGGACGCGTAATTGTGAAGGTTTGTGGAATCAGATGGAAAGGGTTATTTCTCGTCCACCTTAACATCTTTTCAGTTTAGGTCAAAACCTTTACACTAAAGTTGAGAAAACAGCAAATACTGTCCCCTGAGCTTTCAATTGGCTTAATTGTCTTTTGATTTCGCTAGGCTGTGTCTAAGAAACGAAATGAGCCCTCGTCCGATTCGCCATCTTTCTTTCCTACCTGTCAAAAAATGATTTTCGAGGCTACACCCAGTGACGGCTTAGGAATATTAAGTAAGCCTCTAACTCGTTCTTTCGCTCCCTGATTCCCTCCTACACTGTAGAGTAGCAAACTAGACAAAGTCGTAAGCCTTGTTTTCTTTACTATATTCTCTCTCTCTCACACTACATTACAAAATTTGCGGTTCAAACGCATTTTATTTTTTTCAAAAGAACCGTAGCAGAGCACTCGAAACTATGGCGCTTTTGGTGAGATAATGTAAATAATAAACAGTAATTTTTCAACAACTTAAAAAAATTTTAAAAATTACGCCATTTCTATCGAAAAAGTCAACCTTAGCTTTTACTTACTTGAGAATATTATAAATTTGACCACTGCGTTCAGATTTTTGCCCTCAAGCAGCGGTTTTGTACAGCGGTGCCAACACAACTGCACACGTAGGCTGTCGCTAACTATGCGGATCATACAGTGCGTAAGATTAGAAACACAAGGGCAAAAACAAAATAAAAATAATGTAAAAGTCAGCTCCACCCCAGGAAAAAACTTTACGAACTGCGCAGCATTGACTCGCCCATGTCTTTCTGGTGTTTATCGGCTCTTTTTTGCCCTTTTCTCTTCTTTCTGTGTTATTAAGAGATATTATATATACTTTTTCTGTTCTCTTCTTGTGAGAATCTGATTTGTTTCGCGATTATCCGTTTTCCCCTCCATGGACTCCTCTCTACTGTTGTTCTACTGATTGCAGCTCCGAGCGGGGTGCACCCAACCTCCAACGCCGGCGTTTCATTGTCGCTTCGATGGCTCGGACAGACACGGAGATTGAAACCATCGTGACCTGAGAACCCTAAATATCGGAATCTACATCCACTGCAACACCCGAGCGGACCTGAAGCACCTCATCTAGGACCGCCCGCTGCACCGTGGACCAAGGCAACCAGCCATTGCCACAACCCCACCAGAATGATCGTTCGACCATAATCCAGGCCCGGGCAAAACCCAGGCGCGTCGCCACCGCCGCCGCCGCCAACGAGTTATGGGCGGTCGCTGCTCCAATACCTGGACGACCCCGGGGTTCCAGCCGTTGGCGTCAGGCTCCGTCCCGGGCGTGACAGCCAAAACGTCATTTTGCAAAACGCTGATAATGACTGCTTTTCCAGTGTCCCTCCCCCTTTCCTTTTTATTTTTTAATCCCATGTCTCCCCCGGCATTCACCGCAGCTCTCCAAGCACATGTCCTTGGAGAACTGCGGTGAATAGGGGGAGACACGGGATTAAAAATTCCAAGGACATAAACATGTCCTTGGAGGGCACGTATGTGTCAACAACAACAACAACAACAACAACAACAACAACAACAACAACAACAACAACAACAACAACAACAACAACAACAATGACGACGACGGCGAATCTGCCCTTCGGCGATGCCTTCGTTCACGAGCAAGCAAACGCTGGGCATTCCAAAACGTGAAGCTCTTTCGGCGTTTGCGTACCAAACGTGACGCCAACGCGAGACATGGCGACGACAGGGCGGTCTCTTGAACTGCTCCACAGGTTAAACGCAGGCGCGTAAATCTAATTGACAGCGAGGTCACTAAGCGCGTGCTTCCCACAATTTTACATACTAACTGCAGATCGCGGGACTAGCACCCCTCGCTTCCTTATTGGCAAAACGCATGCACAAACACGCGTTCGCTTGTAGGCACAGTATTTTCACTCTTAAGGCCGTTAATTAAATGGACCCGCACGAAAGATTAGACATACGCAGAGATCACTTTCAAAAGAAGGCAAGAATCGACCGCGTGGAGCAGTTTAATAACGCCTGTAAAGCGTGCTTCACAACAATTACACTTGTCATGCGAGTAAGCACGCACTTGACAGCGATCGGCCCTTCACAGCAAGTGCGAGTCTTCGTTCCCACGTCCTAACGCACGGGTAAAGTGGACGTTCCTCTACGTGGTTTACGTGAGAAGTCCACTGTTAACCCTCGTAAGCATGTCGCAATCATGATCGCGTGCGGTAGTGACGTGCCATTTTCTCCAAACGGTCGACCTGGCACGTGTACACGCCGTCCGTGGTTTTAACAGCGAGAGCGCTGAAGACTTCCGTATCGTAGAAATTCTGGTGTCGGCGTTTTGGTTCGAAATCTAGAAATCGGCATTTTCCACGAGCGCAGATACGAAGTAACCTAGGGCTGCTATTTTGGACACTAATTCCGCTTTATTGTCAACTTTCATAATGGCGGCTATTTAAGCTAATCAGAGAGGTCGTAGCAACTCACTTGGCCAATTAGCATTGATCAATGGCGGAATTCGACAATGTCCGGTATAGCACCCGAAGTTTTCTGCGTGGAAAGGGGCTCTACCCCAGAACCACAACATGCAACGCCTGCAACTTCGTAAAAAAAAAAAAAAAAAACGGAAACGCTATACGAATGACCCGTAATGAGGGAGTCCCCTTCATGTATTCATGAAAGAAAAGAACTGTAAGGGGTCGTTTTCATTCGTTTAGTACAATATAAATGAGAACTCATTGCAAGTTAGTTTTCATTCTTAGTGTATGTAATAGTTTATGGCAGGATCGTGCAATCGAACCAGGCGTCAAAACAGGTGAACTGCGCAACGAGCGCGCGTGGTTTAAAAGGTACGCCCGTTACCAGTTCAGCAGGTGCGCGTGACACCTAATGGGCGCGCACTGGTACTTCGCCAATATGCACAAAGAATAATTATGGTGGGATGGGCACTTCGCAACAGTACTTGCCGAATGCATTCAAAGATAGTTTCAAACGACCACAGCCTCCTAGATTTCCCTTGCCTGCCGGATTATCGGAGGTCACTTGAGAAGCGGCCGTCGTCGGAACTATGGTGGTGGCGTCACTTAAGTAGGGGTGTCTTCAAATAATTTTTTGACGTTTTTGAAGCTTATATGCAACAAAAATAACGTAAAATGCTTTTGAAAGGCGTAAACGTAATTATATTTAACCCTACGTAAGTGACACCGCCATAGATGACAGGCGTTTCACGCTCATTCAGCAGGCAACCCCTTCAACACAAGGCATAGCCTCCAAAATTGGCAAACGCCAAAATTGCCGATCTCAAAGGCCAAGTACAAAGCCCTTTACTCCTATGTAGGTAGCGCCGCCATGGATGACAGGCGTTTCACGCTCTTCTGGCAGGCAAGGGAAATCTATGAGGCTGTGAAACGATTTATGCTACGCGCACAAATGTTCCCTTCTTGGCGGCCCGGTTGAGCGCGATGCGCACGATTACGCGATTACGTTCTGAAGGCGAAGCTCAAGCGTACTCCAAGTTTTGCACATTTAATGTAAACGCATGAGCACATCGATGTGAAAGAAAAAAAAAACTAACATCGAAGTTCTAACGGAGAGCGGAACCGAAGCACCCAAGTTTAAACGAAATCCGCGGAGCGGAGTTTTTTTTTTTTTTTTTCGCTCTCGTGCAAATAAGCACAACAACTCACCTTAGCTTTCTCGTGAGACGTCTAATAAGATAGTCGCTTGACAGCTTTTGGTATTAGTTCGTTTAAATACCTCAACCTGGTGAGCTCGAACTCAGTTTACGAGAAACACTAACCAAAACAGCAAGTTTGATATTTCGTTTATACGGGAGTCCTCACCTTTAAAAAAAATTATTAACAAATAACAAATAAATAGGTTTCTGTCGAAAGGCACGTCTTTTTTTCGTACTTTGTTTCGCTACTACGACTGCTTTAAATTTTACGATACAAACACTCTATTTTCCTGCAGTCACCGCAAGGCTCGTTACAATATTTTCGTTAATTGGACGGTTGTCGGCGATAATAATCACCTCACTGTGTCCCCACCCCCCCCAAATCACATAGCTTATTTGCAGAAGTGATGCTCACGTACTCCGCCCCACCCCCGCGCCTAATTTTAATAACAAACCCATAATCATAATCATGTTTGTTGATCCTCCGGTAGGCAGGTCCTTTCAAAAAGCAACGAGGAGTTTAATATATATATATATATATATATATATATATATATATATATCCTGCGACAACGTAATGCTGTCGTTTTTCAATCACGTGAGGGTGGCGCTCGGGCTGTGTTCTAACGCGAGTGTGGACCTGTACAGAAAGCGAGCGCAAAACCCACACCACCTCGCGTCCATCGATGTGTGTCGCCCGGTACTCTACTGCGCAAAAGGTCAAGTGGCGCCATCTCTGTCACGCCCGCAGTACTAACACGGTCTTCCCAAAACCACCTGAATCTGCGCTCATCCCTCCTGGCTTCGTCCCCTGAGACTAGGCGCCTGGTTAAATAACGATCCTTCATTGCGACGTTTTCGCAACTGAAATTTACGAAACGAAGGCACTGGTCTTCGTTTCGTAAACTTCCTCTCAAAGTTCTTCACTTTGTTCCTCCTTTATGACACAAGGACGAGGGGTAAAAACGCGTATAAAGTTTATTTTCGCAAATATCCCATCGTTATAAGCAGCAACTTCGTCAGCTCGTGTCCTGGTTACAGTCATCTTCGTCGGTTGAATCTTCTCCACGTTTCTGCAGCAAAAGTTGTAATAACGTCATGAAAACCCAAAGGTTCTTACAAAGGTTCTTACAAAGCCTGCTTACAAACCAAGATGCCTTTTCAGACGATGAAAATATACATTAAATGAAAGCAACTTGTTGTGCCAGTTTAAAAAGTGCCTTGCAAGGCCAATAGCGTCTACTATCACCCACTTGATTGATTTGATTGATATGTGGGGTTTAATGTCCCAAAACCACCATATGATTATGAGAGACACCGTAGTAGAGGGCTCCGGAAATTTCGATCACCTGGGGTTCTTTAGCCTGTACTGTTACCCACTTATACTGTCTGATTTATAATGGTCTAAGTCACGAAAGACTGAGCTTTGTAAGAAATGCAAAAGTTCACAACTACAGGAAATAAGTGGCGATGGGAGGGGGCTGGTAATGCGAGCACAAGTCTAGGTTATGAAAACAAAAAATAGAAGCAATGATACATACAAGTCTAACTTCAGAGAAAAAGGTGCTCTAGTTTACAACCGGCAGCCCGATGCACCATCTTAATTGTGTGCAAGCTGCCCTAGCACATGTGTAGTGGAGCATAAGCACTAACGCGTATGCCCCTTCAAAAGAGAACGAAGAACCCCGTGCTCTGATTGCGCGAGAACCTGTGCCGCCTTTGCCAGACTTGCCGTTCGCCCATTTTCCGTCGCGACCTCATTGCGACTCCTCTGTTATAATAAACATCATCGCATTTGGTGGAGGCTGCTGAGATCCCTAAGCAGACCTGGAGCTCCGCTCTCGCAAATTGGCCGAAAGACCACCGTACAACATAACTGACACAGTCGCCAACCAGCCCATCCCAGCACAGCCAGTACCATCGGCTGCCCCGTCGACCTGCTCTGGTGCTACCCGTCAGCGGGACCCACCAATCTTCAGCGGCAATGGTGAGCAAGACGTCGAAGACTGGCTCTCCTTGTACGAACGCGTAAGTGCCAGCAACAAATGGGACAACGACTCTAAGCTTGCCTATGTTATCTTTTACTTGGCTGACGTCGCCAAGCTATGGTTCACCAACCGCGAAACCGCCATCACCAACTGGTCCACCTTTAAGACCCTCGTGACCGAAGCGTTCGGCCGACCAGAGGTCCGCAAGCGCCGCGCTGACGAGCGTCTGCGCCACCGAGCCCAGCAGCCTGGCGAGACCTTTACTAGCTATATTGAGGATGTGCTCGACCTCTGCAGGCGTGTTAACTCATCCATGCCTGAAGAAGAGAAAATTCGACATATTCTCAAGGGCATCGAGGATGGCGCATTCCAGATGTTGCTGGCGAAAAGCCCGACCACGGTGGCAGTCCTCGTAAGCCTGTGCCAGAGCTTCGATGAATTGCGTCGTCAGCGTTCCATCGCCTGACAGAGTGTCCCATCACCAGATTCGATCTCGGCCGTCACACTAGCAAATGGCAACGTTCACCAAGGAACTCTGTCGAACCAGATTAAAGACTTCATCAGGGAGGAAGTCGCCCGACAGCTCTCCCTGCTGCCGCATAGCGACGCGCCCACGACAAGCCTCCCTTCGAATATGTAGCAGGCCATACGCACTGAAATTTGCAATGCCCTCCCTACAGTTCCGGCCTCTTACCCATGCACTTCGGTGCCACCTGATCTCTCAACTGCTGGCTACGCACCAACTGCGCCGCCTTCACCTCTCAGCTACGCAGCTGTGGTCGCGCAGCCCCCACCGCATCCAGTCGCCTTATCGGCTCCACCTCCTCCGGCCTCGCCTCCAGTTTACAGGCCCCCACCTCGCTTTTTCCGTCCATCTAATGAGTGGCGCACCCGAGACAATCGTCCCATCTGTTTCGCGTGTGGCATCGCTGGCCACATTGCACGCTTCTGCCGCCGCCGTCCCACACCTGCGCACGCATACTTCGGAGCTCCTACCTACGCACCGCAGCAGACCACCACGTCTGCATATGAACAGAGGCACTCCGACTCGGATCGCCACCCATCGACTGCTCGTTTCCCATCACCTCGTCGCCGATCCCCATCGCCTATGCGTCGTCGACCACCTCCTGAGGAGGGAAACTAATCAGTGCAGTTCCGGAGGCAAGAACTGCAACTTGTGCGCAATTCCCAAGGCCTCCATTTTCGCCGCAAAATGTTGATGTCGATGTTGAGGGAGTCGCCACATTAGCGTTAATTGATACCGGGGCCGCCGTTTCTGTGATGAAGGCAAAATTTTGTAGGAAACTGAAGAAAGTGACCACATCTCTCAGTGGCATGGTGCTGTCCACGGCTAGGACGCAACGCATTCATCCCTCGGCTGCGTGTACGGCGCGCGTCGTCATCCGAGACGTTTTGTACGTCGTACAGTTTTTTGTTCTAGCATCTTGCTCTCATGACCTTATCCTGGGTTGGGATTTCTTATCACGTCATGAAGCTATCATCGATTGTTCCCGTGCCGAAGTGTCCCTTGTGCCAACATGTGAATTTCCACCACCCGACCGCTCTCCTCTGCTCTGCAAACTCATCGCTGACGACGACATCACCTTGCCTCCTGAAGCTTCGGTCCCTATTAGCCTTTCATGTGTGGCGCAACCTGACGGCACGGTGGTGTTTACGCCATCTCCGGTTTTTACTGAACGCAAGGGCATCGTTCTCCCATTTGCTGTTCTTACAATTGCGTCTGGTTTAACCGTAATGCTGGTTACCAACCACTGCAACTACCCCATTGGCTTACTTCGTGGTGAAACGTTAGGATATGTGCAACCTGTCGACCATATCGATGATATTATTCTTCCCGACGAAACGCCATGTCACATTGCTGCAATCACTCATGCGTTTGAGCCATCAAGTTCGTCAGCCTTCGACAATGCTATTGACGCAGACCTTCCCCTCTCGCATCGCCGCCAACTTGTTGCTCTCCTTAACAAGTTTCGTTCTTCTTTCGACTTTCAAGAACCTGCTTTGGGCCGCACCACGACTATCACTCATACTACAGACACCGGCTCACATTCGCCTCTGCGACAGCGTCCTTACCGCGTTTCCACCGAAGAGCGCCGCGTCATTACGGAGCAATTACATGACATGCTTAAACGTGGAGTCATACAGCCTTCTCAAAGCGCTTGGTCATCACCTGTGGTTCTGGTAAAGAAAAAAGATGGCACCGTACGATTTTGCGTAGACTATCGCCCTTTACATCCTTGGATCTGCGTTCTGGGTATTGACAGGTGCCAATGGTTGAATGTGATCGTCCTAAAACAGCCTTTGTAACGCAGGATGGCCTATATGAGTTCAAAGTCTTGCCATTTGGGCTCTGCAACGCGCCTGCCACATTTGAGCGCATGATCGACACCATCTTGCGTGCCCACAAGTGGAAAACCTGCTTGTGTTACCTGGACGACATTGTAGTCTCTTCATCTGATTTCCCGACACATCTTGCTCGCCTCCACGAGATTCTGACGTGTCTAACTTCTGCAGGCCTACAACTTAACTTCAAGAAGTGCCACTTCGCAGCACGAAAACTAACCATCTTGGGACATGTCATCACAAGAGACGGTGTTCTTCCGGATTCCGATAAGCTTCGAGCTGTCGCTGACTTCCCGTTGCCCACATCACTGAAAGCCCTAAGAAGTTTCGCCGGTCTCTGCTCCTACTTTCGTCGCTTCGTGCCCAACTTCGCGTCCATCATCACACCTCTCACGAGTCTGCTTTCCAACAGCAAAGGCATATCTGCATGGTCACCTGCATGTGACGATGCATTTCGCCAGCTGCGCCGCTTGCTGACCTCACCACCTATTCTTCGTCACTTCGACCCCGCTGCTGCCACAGAAATTCACACCGATGCAAGTGGCATCAGTCTTGGTGCAGTTTTGGCACAACGGAAAGGCACCCAAGCTGAATACGTAGTCGCCTATGCAAGTCGCGCTCTCAAGAAGGCTGAATTGAATTACTCCGTGACAGAGAAGGAGTGTTTGGCCATAATCTGGGCGTTGACGAAGTTTCGCCCGTACCTTTACGGCCGTCCTTTCGACGTGGTCACAGACCACCACGCTCTATGTTGGCTGTCCACCTTGAAAGACCCGTCCGGACGCCTGGGGCGTTGGGCACTTCGATTGCAAGAATACGACATCCGTGTCGTATATCGTTCCGGTCGCAAGCATGCGGATGCCGATGCACTTTCGCGATCGCCATTAACACCTGATGTGGCTTCTCTGTCACCCCTTTTTCCCACCTTGTCACGAATCGACACCACTGACATGCTTTCGGAGCAGCGTAAAGACCCATACCTTGCATTGTTACTCGACTACCTTACCGATCCGTCTGCTGTCCCTTCCACGAGAGCGCTACGCCGGCAAGCAGCCCACTTTTCCGTGCGAGACAGCATTCTGTACCGCCGCAACTACATGCCTGGTGGTCGGAAGTGGCTCCTTGCTGTCCCAACTCATATGCGCTCTGACATCTGCATGAATTTCCATGCAGATCCCCAAAGTGCTCACGCAGGTGTCCTGAAAACCTACGAAAGGCTGCGCCAACGATATTACTGGCGAGGAATGTATCGCTTTGTGCAGAAATACGTTCACTCTTGCACCACTTGCCAACAGAACAAGACACCTCCGCGGCACCTTACTGGCATGTTACAGTCGCTCCCATGCCCGGCTCACCCATTCGACCGCGTGGGTATCGACCTCTATGCCCCCTCCCATATAGTCGCTCTGGAAACCGGTGGATTATTGTCGGTGTCGATCATCTGACATGCTACGCTGAGACTTCAGCTCTACCGGCAGCGACCGCCCACGAAGTTGCACTCTTCATTCTGCGCAGCTTCATTCTCCGCCATGGGGCTCCACGCGAATTACTCAGTGATAGGGGTCGAGTGTTCCTGTCGGAGGTCATACAAGCTATTCTCGCTCAATGCAACATCATACACCGGAAAGCTACCGCTTACCATCCACAGACGAATGGTCTCACTGAACGGTTCAACCGCACACTTGGCGACATGCTGAGGATGTACACCTCCTCCGACCACACTAACTGGGACGCTGTATTACCATTTGTTACATTCGCTTATAACACCGCGACGCAAGCGACTACCGGTTTTTCCCCGTTCTTTCTGTTGTACGGCCGCGAACCATCCCACCCACTCGACACCATACTCCCGTACCGCCCCGATGCATCGGAGTGCTCCCCGCTTTCGGAAGTCGCCAGATACGCAGAAGGCTGCCGTCAGTTGGCTCGGTCTATGACAAGTGAGGCTCAAGGTCTACAAAAGACCCGACATGACGACGTTCATCACATAGCGCCTACGTTTCCTACTGGCTCTCTTGTGTGGCTTTGGGTGCCCCCGCACGTTCCTGGCCTTTCTTCTAAGCTTCTGGCCCGGTACCATGGTCCATACCGTGTCATTGACGCAACCTCGCCGGTGAATTATATCATCGAGCCCCTAACACAATCACCCGACTTGCGCCGTCGAGGACGTGAGACCGTACACGTCGACCGTCTCAAGCCCTACTACGACCCCCTCATTGTGTCTACTCCCTGAGTCGCTAGGATGGCTACTGTTCACCCCGGGGGGGGGGGGGGGGGGGGGGTATTGTAGTGGAGCATACGCAACGAAGAACCCCGTGCTCTGATTGCGCGAGAACCTGTGCCGCCTTTGCCAGACTTGCCGTTCGCCCATTCTCCGTCGCGACCTCGTTGCGACTCCTCTGTTCGAATAAACATCATCGCACATGCATTACAGTACTGCTACAATGTTTCTGCATAATGCATTCGGACTCATACCATGCCACCTGCACGCAAAGACATCTCCACAGATGCCACATTGTAGTTATAATCACCAAATATAGATTTTTAGCATGTTGAGTTTTTTCATTAGTCCTTCTCGCTTACACAAATAAAGAATGTGTTTCATCGGTGGAAGCAAAGCAGTGAGAAGGTGTGGCTAAACTTGCAAAAATTAACTATTTCATCCACAGTTTATAGTCCTCTGCTCGTTGTTACATTGTCTAGCTTGAAAGGAGCCGTGGAACACTTTACCGAGTTTCAATGGTACAGTTACGTAACATTATGGTACAGAATTACGTAACGCTAAAACTTTGCAGCATAGCTTCACTGGCCAATGTTGAGCAATTTCGCATGGCTTAGCAAGAGTCGTGCTGTGCATGCCCGAGTAGAAGTGACGTCGCACGGTGCACAGCTCGGCCGGTACGCCAGAGAAGGCCTGGAAGCTCCTGGATTGGGTTGGCGCATGATTTGCATGAGTCGCATGAGCTCGCTTCCTAGTCCGCTCATTTGTCTATCTGTCTCTTCGTCCATCCGTTCGTTCATCAGTCTGCCTGTCCGTCCATCCATCTGTCTATCCGTCCGTAGCTCACGCTACGTATATCCTGGCATAGTCAGGCTAAGCCACTGCCAATTTGTTTTGTAATCTTTCATGCACGAGCGCAGTTAGAGGAATTAGTCAAACGGTTCAAGTGCTTTCGCACTTTTTTGTACTAGCGAGCATGCTCAAGAATACATAGGGAAGAGGATTACAAAGAGGGACGACAGTGTATCCCTTATTCAGTGCAGATCATGACCTTGGGTACTTTTCTTTCTATGAATGCGTGGCTTACTTTGAGCACGATCGTGGGCGCGTGACTGGGCATGCGGCAGCAGCGCATGGCAGCCACGGTAACAATGCAGTTCACGATGCTCAAATCAGCCAACAGCCAAGGACTTTGGGTATATGACGGAGTAATTCAGGTGCATAGCATTATTTGTAGAGAGAAGAGAGAGCGATTTCTAGCCCGACGGAGAATTAATAGTAAATTCCCAGCCGCATGCTGCGCTACAATGGCGCGTCCTTGACTACTGATCGGCGTTTTCTGCCCACGCTAAAAAAGTGTGGAACCCTTGAACACCAAACCAAGAACATGATGAATACTAAGTTGCATGGGCATCAGGAGGAGCTTGTTTTGACCAAACTCCTGCTGAATTGTGACGAGGGGGTCAGGTGGTTTTGCAGAAGGGGCTCGAAGGGCAGGTGTTTTTTTGGCTTGGGGAACCAAGCGCCCCCTTGGCACACCCCCTGCCAACACCCAGGCTAAGTAGTAAATCACAGATCTCCACCAGAACAATGAAATTTCTGGGCCCTAATTGTTTTTGAACCGATCACTATCACCCTAGTGTACAAAAAAAAACTGCTATGGTAAATAAATATAAATATTGTATTAAATTCTGCCTAAGGGGTTTACCGAATGCACAAGGCAGTATACATTGACTGGTAGCATCACTAATCATGTCAAACTGCTCAGTTTCAGTCGCACATGTCATACACGTCAGAAGAGACAGTTTCAGTCACATACGTCAGAAGAGACAGTTTCAGTCACACACGTCAGAAGAGAAACTAATTATGCAAAAGATTTTGAACCGGATCGAAAGTAGCCATTTAGCACTGGTAATAGACTGCAATGATCAGTTATTGAAACATAGCTGCACAAAAGAACCTTACCAGCCTCATGAGATCAATGAGCTTTTGTGCGTCTTCACCGGCACACAAGTCGACAACATCCCGAGGTAAGGCATAGTGACGGTATGGACTGGGCTGCACGCCCCTATTCTCCTTCATGTATCGAAATATTGGCAACTGAAAGAGAACGAGAAGTGGTACAGATGCGTGTGTGTGTGCAATACAAACGTCCAAGTTCAGGGTAAGCGCCGGGAAGCACGTTAAACAGTTCAACACCGAGATAAAGTCAACGTGTGTAAGCACTCTCTGCGTCCCACTGCTATCTGTATCACACCACTAGCTTGGAGATACTTTACTGTCACACACTCAATCCCAGTATAAACGTCATAGACATACTAGATTCGCAGCCTCCAGAATGTCTCTATGAACCACACCTTTCACACGCTCAGGGCTGCCTCAACAAGCTCGACCACCAACGTGTTGCCTTAGCACTAATCGTAACAGGATGTTATTTCTCAAGTAAATCATGCCCATCATGTTGCTGGTCTGGTATGGTACATCCAGTGCGACACCTGTTGATGCGACTTCTTTGTGAAGCTACGATTCTGTCACACCATGCACACGTGTACTTGCAAACGAGTGCCACTTTTTTGGTGCATGAGTGTGTTGGACCACACTACGCCAATGTTACAGCAATGGCCACTCAGTTCGCCAAGTGTAAATACAAAGTTGATCATACTCTATGATACTACAAAGGTATCAAAACTTTTAAACCACTACAGCTTGACCGGGAAACTGTAATCGTTGCAGCGTGGAATCTCTACGAATGCACAGCACTCACCCCAGGAGCTTGTTCAGTCTTGTACTTCTCGAGCTCTTCCCAGTCAAAGAGCAAGGAGTCAGTATGAGCCCCAAACGGATTGAAGTCGAGAAGCTTTACAAGATCCTGAAGCATGTCGATCAGAAAAATGGCTAAGTGAAGTTGTTAGCTTATGCGCAACAAAACACATCGTTCAATACTGTCAAAACACGATAGTCTGGCTGGACCATACTAAAAATAGCTACACAGAGTTGAACCATCTCGTCACAATGCAACTGACATACAACACAAAAAATACCATATTCCTTATATCTGATATTCAGAAGTTTGCATGTTGATATAATAATAAAAAATTATAGATTGCAACAATGGCTACGCAAAGGAAATTGGACTATGACGACACCGGCAAGAAAGCAACGACAACCTAGGACAGTCCGAGAATCAGTCAATTCTCTTTCATTCCTGAAGCAGTGTTAACTAAGGTAATTCTGATGCCCTGTCTACAGCTTCTTATGCCAATACATGGCACATGAACAATGTTAAACTACTAATGTACGTTTCACTGCTCTTGAAATCGTAAACACCATGAGTAGTATGATCACACGGGGTCATGCTGATGAATTGGCGGGTTCAACTGAACAAAGATTGGTGTCTATGAAGCCAATATTGTCTGGGAGATGGATCTGGCATTTTTGATTTCCCTACAGTGGCAGAATGCTCACTCTAATAAAGCATGATGAGCTAACTTTTACATTAACTTCTAAGTATCTCACAACTTGTTACACCTATGTTAATAATACTGTAGTTCTATTCAACTACAACATTAAAATGGGCGAACATAGAAGCCAGTAAGATTTACGTCTTTAGGCGAAAAGGGGCTACGAAGCAAGTGAAGTTCAAAACTAAATTTCTCAATATTTATCGGCACTGTGGAAAAAAAAGACCACTTAAGATGGCGAAAAATAGTGCAAAACAGCTTGAGAAGCACACAAACATACACTTTAGCTGCACGACTTGAGCCATTATATGATATTAAAGCTGGGCATTTCAATTTGAAGACAACTATGTCCACCGAACATGTCACAAGAAGCTGAATAATAAATTCTTGCCTTTCTTTTTCTGTATACGTCAAACACATCTGCAAAGACGAAGCAAAACAATCCTTATTTGCGAGTGGCAACAATCAAGGCACAATCACATGCACTGCTCAGAACTGTAACAAAATTAAACATATAGGAAGTTGTTAGATAATCATCATCATCATCATCAGCCTGACTACGTCCACTGCAGGACAAAGACCTCTCCCATGTTCCGCCAGTGAACCCGGTCCTGTGCTTGCTGCTGCCAATTTATACCCGCAAAGTTCTTAATCTCATCTGCCCACCTCACCTTCTGTCTCCCCCTAATCCGCTTGCCTTCTCTGGCAATCCAGCTAGTTACCCTTAATGACCAGCGGTTATCCTGTCCACGCGCTACATGCCCGGCCCATGTCCATTTCCTCTTCTTGATTTCAACTATGATATCCTTAACCCCCGTTTGTTCCCTAATCCACTCTGCTCTATTCTTGTCTCTTAAGGTTACACCTACCATTTTTCTTTCCATTGCTCGCTGTGTCGTTCTCAATTTAAGCTGAACTCTCTTTGTAAGTCCAGGTTTCTGCTCCGGAGCTAAGTACCGGCAAGATACAGATGTTATATACCTTCCTCTTGAGGGATAGTGGCCATCTACCTGCCATAATGTGAGAGTGCTTGCCAAATGTGCTCCACCCCATTCTTATTCTTCTAGTTACTTCAATCTCGTGGTTCGGCTCCGCGATTATTACCTGCTCTAAGTAGACATAGTCTTTTACAACTTGAAGTGCACTATTACCTATATCAAATCGCTGCTCTTTTCCGGGGTTGTTGTAGATTACTTTCGTTTTCTGCAGATTATTTTTAAGACCCACTTTTCTGCTCTTTTTGTCTAACTCCGTAATCATGAGTTGTAATTCGTCCCCTGAGTTACTCAGCAATGCAATGTCAAGTTTAAAACATTTACGTCCTAAAAGCACTGCATGACTATGAGGCGCGCCGCATTAGCTATGAGAATGTGGGGTACCCTTAATGTACCCCACATGTGCATGTACCCACATGAAAAAAAACTCCTGGAATTGTGGTTCGTTCGTTACAACACATCAGCTTTTAGCAACAAGCGTGGCCCCCAATTGGATGTTTACAAGGGCATCTATGGCTGGTGGACTGAGCAACCTCTGCTGATTTGTTGCCAGCGTATACTAAGGATGCCACTCACAGAGGTGGCAAAACATGTATGTTAATTTGTAATTAGTTGTTCTGTTAAGTCAAAGTAAACATCTTAGAATAATGAATTCACCTGGATATCAAACAATTTTTTTTTGTACATTAAGGTGCATCTAAATGCTATTGAATGACAATCTTATTTTTCATTTTGTCGCCATGAGCGTGCTGCCACATCGGCTATAATGTTTACCTGCTTTCTCATGCTTATCACAGTGGCACTTTAGACACTAAGCCAACATGGTACGTAATGTAAACGACAAAGACACGCGCATGGCCACATAATGCCAATAGATGACACCGTGGAAGTAGAACTGCCTAGAACAGTTTTATTGAATCCAAAGTGAAGATGCTTTTCAAGTGTAGCTGACTTGCAGGTTTCAGCGGCTGCAGTAATGATGCATATGAGAAAAAAAAAAAGCTGGCGATGGCAAGTGTACAGAGACACACTGCTTCAAAGTGCGTCGATCACATGCATAATTGTGTACTTAACTTATAAATAGTGAAATCCAATACAATGAATCTCAAGGAACTGCTAAAAATCATTCTTATTTTAAAAAGTCATGATGAAGGCATTAAGAATCAGCACAAAATTTGTAAATGCAAGCACCTAAGTCACCAACCTGGGCTGTATATACACTCCCAACTGCATTATGCTCTAATAAGCACACACAAAAAAGCAGATACACGAAATATTACGGAACCAGTGCATGCTTATTTTAGAAAAAACGCGATCTATCCTGTTGTGGGCTGCTCGACTGCTGAAAGATGATTTTTTAAATCTGCATATTCTATTTTTGCACTGTGAAGCATCGGTGTGAAAGGCAAACTGCAGCGATTTTTCGAGGTCAGTGGATTTCAATGAAATTCACTGGTACGTTTATTTGCACGTTTCGGTCCTTCATGCCAAATCGCAGGCTTGACAGTTTCGCAGATTATTTTCGAATGAAATTCATAGCTTGCTTGTGAACGCTCACCTCACTTGCCAGAATTAATGGCAACATTATGTGTGTAACGTTGACTTTTCCAAAGCGGAAGTGACGAAACTAATGGGCCACTGCAGCATGTGCTTGTCCACTATGGATTGAGTGGTTTTGGCCGGCACTTCTTTCGTTGAGCAAGCGATTTCCCTTTTCGTGTTGATGGGCACGCAATAAGTGGAAAGTAGTGTTGCGTTGTGCGCCGCACAGGATTCGCCATATATTCACCATATTAGCATAAGCGTTTTAGCCGATAGCTGCAAGCACAAACTTGGATGGCCGGAACAGGTAGTGCCATCTGGCGGCGTTATGTGCAAACAGGCAGATTCAGGCAAAAGATTACGTCATACGTGGAAGTGCACTTGGTTAGGTTACATTGTCAGTATTGTGATTTTTTGCTATTTATTGTCAAATTTATTGAGCGTTTCAGCTATCCGTTGGGTGACAAGAGTGTCCCGGAAACATAAAAGCACCATTATCCGGGCATGGTAAAAAAATCGACGCAGTTCGCCTTTAAATACGAATTCTTCCCGTTGGTTCGTGCATGTTGTTTCAACGTCGTCTTTGCTCTCGTCACTGTTTCCTTATCACGACAGATGGTATGGATATTATAGGTCGTCAGCTAAGCTCACGTGCATGCCTCATGATCGCACTGTGCGTAGTGTACGAGCTTTAGTAAAGCATGCACGGGTAATCATGGGCGACTTCATCCCATAGGATAGTCGCATCACTTTTGTCACTGTGGTAGAACTCCTTTTGTGCTGCTTCCACAGCTCATCTTGAACGTTCGATCACCAACCAAAGGGCTACAAAACAGCCGTGTGACAAGTGCCAGGTAAAGGTGCTCGACGAAAACAAAGGGACCAGGGTGAAGCCTGACGCAAGAAACAAGTACCAGGAGATGATGATGGCGATAGGGCTATCACACATTTGAATAGGGCGGGCCATGGAGGAAAGAAATATGTGGGCGTTCAGATGATGAGGATGATAGTAGCAGTTATGGAGCTGGGCATTATTTTTACAGCCGCAAGTAACTTTTTAAAATTCCTTATTTTGAGGTGTTGCGAAGATATAAGGGGGACAATTTTCGATACAATATCCTGAAACATTCGGTATTCTAAAATTTGTAGTAGCGAAATATTTTTACATTAAACCAATAAACATTTGAAGGGAAATTTTCGAAAAAGTCATTAATATAAGAAAATTGTTAAACTGAGATTCACTATTGCAAAATTTTAGTGTAATTGGTGTTCTCGTAATTGTGGCTTAATCAAAAATCAGCTGTTCCTGATATGAATATCTGATTGTTAACATAAATCATTTGTCGTTTTGCATTGCCACAATTTACTATTGCCTGGATATGAATGCACGACAGTCTTTGTGGCCTGCAGCAACTGCAGTGTTGCACTGCCAAGCACGTAGACAAAGGTCCAATTAATAGTATGCATGAAGGAAAAAGTTCAGAGAGAGGATAGCCTAATGTTATTGAAAGAAAGAAAAATAGCACAGGGGTGGAACAGGGTACAAGGGTTTGGTAGCAGGCCTGGGAGCAGGCAAAAGCGCCTTTTGTAGCAATCTTGGAGCATCCAGAAAGGCCTTTAGGAGAAAGCTTGAAGCAGCCAGAGAGAACGTTCAGAGCAGATGTAACCCCATTTCACAGCACTTATGAAGCAACATTTGTCTGATGCTGCATTATTCAAACACTAAGCTGAATTTTTCAATACCCTTACTATTGTGATAGCAATTATATGGACAATCTCGATGGGTTTTTGCCCCCACTGTCATGTCCCATATAAAGTTCAAATTTACCCCAGCACGTCGTATATTCTACGCACGAGTAAAAGCACGGGAGCGGAGGCAACGAACACGGCTGAAGCAGAGATAAAACAAGCCAGCTCATCTCTGCTGTCGCTCAGAGGGTGCATTAAATAACAACGCCTCGCTCAGGAGGCCTGCTCTTCAAGCGGAATAAACACCCTGCCCGTCTTGAACGAGCATAAAAAGACAAGGGGGGTGGGTTGGCGCAAGTGCAGCAAGTTTGAACATTGCATCAAGGTTGCGATCACTGATGCATGCCATAGCTCGCCATCAGCCGTCGGCTCTCATAGACTTGTATGTGCTTCACTCCCAATTTTGTTTACTTATTTATTTGCAAATACTCCAATCTCATTACGGCATTTCTACAGGATGGGAATACGAATATATGATAAGAATAGCACAACAAACAAAAAAATTAAGATATACATGAAGTACAAAGACAACACTTGTTGTGTAGAGACTGCGCAAAAAGTGTTGCTCTTCCTGGCATAGCCAGATTGTCCTACACCAGCGTTTTGTAGGGTTATGCGAGATCAGATTCACAGAGTAAGCTCGCAGCCTTACTTCGTAAAATATTAGAATTTGTTGTTGTTGCATTCACTGCTTCGCCCTTACGGTGAGAGTGACTTTTTTTTAGCTATTTACAGCTACCCATTCTTTCAGCCTCAACACCCGAGCATCAACCGTCGAGTTGATAAGCACCATCTAACGGAGCACAGCGGCGCAATGAGTGAGAATTTGCGCGTGTGCTCGATGAGCAGTCCTGTGCACCAGTTTTTGCTAGGCTGTTCCAAAGAACAGGACACCATTTCCAGTTTTTTTGAGCACCATTATAATCATTTTTTTTTTCCTTAACACTACCATCAAGTTATAAAAAAATCAGTTTCACTGCAAGGACGAAGCAATGAATGCAATAGCAACAAATTGTAATATTACACAAAGACTGGCAGTTAACCCTTTTGGATACGATATTGCTTAGCTCTGCAAAACGCTGGTGTGATACACTCTTTTCCCACAGTCTTTTCGCGTTGAGAGCACAGCATGAAAAGGGATATACACTGATGTTTGCCTAGACAGTGTGCGTGCCAGCAATCACAACCGTGCCCTTAGAATCAAGGCTCCCAGTTCAAGAAGTTACAGCCTTGAAGGAATCGAAACTATAACAGTTTCGATGAAACCGAGAGCACGACGTTTCAACCATGTTTCCTGTACGGGCCTTGATGGCTGTCATACCTTAGGGCTAAATTCGGGTACTGCGACGCAGTTCGGCACTGATAAACAAGTTAGGCGCAGCAGGGGTGGTTCAGCGCATGATGGCACTGATGAACAAGTTTGGCGCACAATGGCGCCAATGACGCAGCTGTTCCACCTCTAGCAGGTCAAGCATGCGGTTGTCAAACTTTTCTAGCCACTATTTTTCAGGTTGAGAAAGCTTCTGAATTTTTTTTCTTTGAAGTATACATGACTGACAGATGCTTACATGAGGCAGATGCAAACTTGGACTTGATTCTCTCGTGAAAGAATGACATTATGTCTTGAACAATGTTCGCCTCCTGCTCCTCAATGTGATAGTAATGGTGCGTGTAATCTCGTTGCGAAATGCCTGAAAACAAAAAGAGAAAAGACCCCTGTCAACAGTGAGCCACATACTTTTAGTGGTGATTAATCTAGTAATTTTTTAGTACATGTGTACTTTTAGTGGACATTTTTTTTGTTCTCTATTTACATTGACGAGCAACGTGCTCTGTGCATCGGCAGTGCCATTAGTAAGGAAAAAAGAACTTGCCTATCAAAACAGAGTCCTTCACGAAGCATCGAAACTCTGTGCTTGGGTCAATTTCCACCCACTTTCTGAGGACGAGCTCGTACTGAAAGAGGTTCTCAATGTCTGTGCCCTTGTTCCAGTCTGTGCAGGCTTTAAATCTGGGCATGGGGGAAGCAACGAACCAGGTAGGAAAGTTAAAAAAACACATTTACAAATGCTGCCCAAATATCTGCCCAAATACAGGTGAAATAAAAAAAACTTTACCAGATGGTCAGAATACCTAAGGGTTTTTTACATGCACACAATATGGAAAGAAGAGAAGAATAGAATAATTGATTAATTGATTTGTGGGGTTTAAGGTACCAAAACCACTATATGTATATGAGAGACGCCGTAGTGGAAGGCTCCGGAAATTTCGACCACCTGGTGTTCTTTAACATGCACCCAAATCTGAGTACACGGGCCTACAAATTTCCGCCTCCATCGGAAATGCAGCCGCCACAGCCGGGATTTGATCTCGCGACCTGCGGGTCAGCAGCCGAGTACCTTAGCCACTAGACCACCGTGGCGGGGCAAGAAGAAGAATAGAATAACAAGAGAGCCGAGATACTTGGTACATACTCACTCTAAAAAGACAGAGCATGCAAACATGGACAGAAGAAGGAAATCAGGACATCGCAAACATTTACTACAACTGAAGGTGCGCACAGCGGCAGAAAAGAAAGAAGCCACAAAAACTTATCTGCACAAACAGATGCAATATGCGAACCTATCAATCAGGCCCCGTGGGAATCTAAGCGAAAGATAACTGTTAAGGTATTTCATTTCATCTTTACGCAAGTTAATCAACGGTGGGCTCATGCAGGCTCTACCACTATTATCGATATGCCATGCCTCAATCATCAGACGCGTTTCTTTATTCCTATGCCAGTACAACACTGCACATTCATCGAACACTGGTGTGTAGCTACATTCTTGCTAATGTAAAGAAAGATTAGAAGGTGAGCCTCTGATTTGTGATTTCTTGTGTTTCAATACTATCTGCTGTGTCCCATGGATAGACGGGACATTGAATTAACCAGAGATCACTAGAGCCCTCCCTCTTTTAGTAATGTGGATGCCATGGCAGGCAATCTAATCTGTGCTTTCTGAACGCGCAAGACTCTACACTATTTCTTTTCAATGCACCTATGATGGTGCGGCAGTTGAAGTTTCTTACGGCTGTGTCAAGTCATGCGTGACAAAGTCGGAACTCTTGAGCAGGAGGCATATGTCCGCAAAACATGTGCACAGGGGGCTGTTGTTTGTGGCGATCCACGTGGCGTCTTTCGGACTGCTCCAATTCAACTTGGGGAACACTCGACCACCGAGGCGCTTGATGGCAGTCGACACTGCCTCCTCCAACTCTGGGAAGCTGGGGATCTGCAAGGATGAGTTATACTGTGGTACCTAATTCCCACATAGTGTTGACACCAATACAGGAATTTATAAAGTAACACATTTTTTTTATGACTAAGAACTAAGCAGTGTGATTTTGCACAGCTTCTAATCACAATGCCAAAGAATATGCGAGCCTCAATCCAAGCACTCAAATTGAAAATCATGCTGGCAGAGTACAGCATGTGTTGTGAAAGAATGAAAAGAACAGCAGCTTTCTTGGCCAGCTAGTAAGGTGTTTTAGACTGTTTGTTATTTGTATTACTGTTTATACTTACCTCTCCCCTTTTGTATTTGATCAGAACCTGTATATTCTCATAGAATTTGATTATTTCCCTGTTTGTGTGTGTGCGGGCATGTGTGTGTGTGCATAAACGTTTTTTTTGCTGCCACCTTGCCTGGTTCTTAGTAATAGCAGTATCTTCTAAATAAGTGAAACAAAGTAAGTAAAGAAAAATAGTGCAAAAATTGCTGGACGTTGTCTTCTTGCAGGGAGAGGAAAAACCGTTTTGGAAGAAATGATTAAAGTTTGCAGGAGCATATATCCTCTTAACCTCTTTTTCAGTATGTCACGCCAGTGTTGTTTTTCTTTAGATCAAAAAAAGGAATGCACTTCAGATAGGCCTTACTCACTCATAGGTTTAAGGAGCCTATTCTCTGCCGAGTATATTACTTTATGCTTTACATCACTCATAGGCTTAAGGAGCGTATTCTCTGTCGAGTATATTACTTTATGCTTTACAGCAAACTACAGGCAATGCACTTGACATAATTTATTACAGACAAAATCAAAAAGCAATGAGAATGTGAAAGAGCATTACCTCTGTGGAGTCTGCATCAGCTTCGGACCAGTCGACCTGGAAACAAAAGAAAATAACGGAGGAAAAGATGCTGGCACGCCACAATTTGAATGCTTAGCCCAAAGGCATTGCTCAAGCGGTATACGAGCCATTCAGGATACGAGCAACACATGCTCACACAGTCTATAAATTTTGAATAAGAACCCTTGTCAGTTAAAGATGAAAGCAATACTCTCGCTTAAGAGGGGACGGGGCAATGCGAATTGTAAATTTGGTCAATATGTTCAATTTTTCAATTAATTTTTTTCTGTAATCCTGAGGCGATGTTTTACATCATAGTGTGATTTTTGAACAAAATAAGTAGTAGAAGTTGAGAAACAAGCATTTTACTGGTGAGCTGTCGTCAAAAGTCATGTGAAAATTGGGCAGAGCAAAATGCAAATTTGAAGGTTTCCCTTGGCACAGTGCCACCATATTGGCATCATCATAAAGATTGGAGCTCAAGTGCCTGGTTAACCTCCCTGCCTTTCTTCTTTTTGCTTATCCCTCCCTCCTTGGAGCTCAAGATAGCACCAATGCTGCATTTCTCCAATGAAAAATAAAGCCAGCTTTCTTCCGAATTCCGTTTTTTTTCAGCTTCCAGCTCTAATTTATTTGAGCTACATTTCTCAGCTCTCATTTTTTGAGCAGTTGCTGTCAGTCATCCCTGTGCCATTTCACAACAAATTAAGCTATAGCTATTCCGTTTCCTGCACTTAGATTGTGAGACATTGGTGAGTGCTGTAAAGCTGTCTATATTTGTGTGCACATCATACAGACTTTTGTAATTGGCTTCTTGTAAAAGTTGTTGATAAGGCAATATAGTTCGGCCACCACAGCCAGGATTTGATCCCGCGACATGTGGATCAGCATTTGAGCACCATATCCACTAAACCAATATGTCCAGGACATTTCAAAAAAAATTTTTGTGTGCTTACTTAAATATTAAAAATAAACCAATAGCATGGCGGCACAAAATGGACCCTTGTGAATATCCTTATGCAAACATTTTGACGGATTTGTGTCTAATTAGCTAATTAATTTTGAGATGACAATGAGAGTCTATAGAGTGTTATAACTCAAAAGTTATATTAGTAGCTCGAAACCGATTTCAGTTATGGTATCAGCACAACAAATGATATCTGCATGCCGAATTTCATCTCTTTGGCATCATAAATAACAAAGATGATTTTCATTGCCACGTCCCCCCTTCTGAAAAAGAGGTAACATGGATGAATTAAAACTACCGCATAAAGATTTGATTGATATGCGGGGTTTAACATCCCAAAACCACAATATGATTATGAAAGATGCCGTAGCGAAGGGCTCCAGAAATTTACGCCACCTGGGGTTCTTTAAAGTGCACCCAAATCTGGGCACACGGGCCTACAGCAGTTTCGCCTCCATCGAAAATGCAGCCACCGCAGCCGGGATTTCAGCCGAGTACCTTAGCCACTAGACTACTGCGGTGGGGCTACCGCATAAAGAGTTCAATAAGCAGACATGAAACACATTATAAGAGCAAATAATAAAAATGAAATGCACACTGCAAGTAGCAATGAGGTTCAGAGGGCCAGACTTTCTCTATTACACAAACAGAAGTGTCCACTGCAGTTTGTCATCGGGTGCAGAATTAATATTCTTGATAGAAGTAATGTCAGTTAATATCTGTGTTGTGCTAAAGCAAAACAACATTTTGGAAGCAACCCCAAGAATATAATCACAGCACTTACATCTTCAAGCAATCATGCAGATCGTATCTGGGGCAGACAAGTGCTAATGTGCTAAAAGTGATGAGCTTCTTACCTCGTCATCGGAATCTGTGTCATACTTTTGTGATGTAGGGGCCCTGAAATATGTCAATTCTAAAGTGAGGATCGTTAAAACACAAGACTTCAAAATTCATTGAACCACTGGAAAAGTAGCATATATATCTATAGGCAAAGCTCATTCATTACTTTAGAAAACTATAAGCACACTTACAATCAGTCATAGGCTCCAACTGTAACCCTCAGACCATAGCGAATCAGGAGTAGTAAACAAGGTTGTCTTTAAAAATAAATATACATATTTCCTATCTTTACTATTCTTTGTTACTTCTTATGCAGCTGTTAATACCTGCCCATAGAAACAACACAACTTCGTATTATTCATCTTGGGCACAGGTAAATTAGCATTTCAGGTTTTTGCTTACACTTGAAAGGACATGTACAGTAAGCATCGAATGAAACGTGAACAGAGGCAAGTATTAGCAATGGCATAGTGTGTGATGTTCAGTCACCACCTGTCAAGATGTGTACACCAGGACTGTTAACACAGTGAGATTCCCCTGCAGTGCAATATTTCACTTCTGCTCTAGTTCTGATATGGTGGCTGCGTGGACGTGCAGAGAACTTGTGGTTTCAGTTTATTTTCTTTCTTTGAGATATCTTGCGCACGAGTGCACTATAGTGGGATGACATATTGTTGCCGTACTGAATCTGGGTGCCTGCTGGTGCTGGACGCCATGCATTAAACCATTGCTAATGCTTACTACTATTAGCAGTTCATTTGACGCTGATAGTACCTATGGACCTCCTGTTTCTCATATTCTAAATGTCTTGCAGAAGTAGCAGGTAAGAGGGCTAAACAAATAACAAAGCGCTTACCTCATTTTTAAGATAGCTGCCTTCAGTGAACTTCTGTTGAACATCTAGCTCATGACACATTACAAATCGATGATTACTCTCAGCCACTAAAGGTGCCTATGATAGCAACCCAGAATACTAGCTGTTCGGAGGTCATGTAATGTAGCAATTCACTTGGTACGACTTTATGCCTTTCTTATCATCGACTACTCATGGTTGGCTGACATTACTACTAACATGAATGGAGCACTGCTTGCACTATTGACGAAGAATAACAGGAGAAGACCTGGAGTAAAGTCATGGCATTAGGCTGGCCCCGATTTGTATGCGATGGTAATCCTTAACTGTTCTGTCTATGAACATTAGTCGATGTGCATTCAATTCTTTTATTTCATCAATGTATCCACATTCTGTAGTCAAATGACAGTATGGAATTAGAAATAAATGTGTACAGGATCGCACATGCAAAATAGAATCAGCAAAAAAGTAGACTGAACCAAGACCTCCCATAAAGAATAAATTCACAATGACCATCCTTCAGGAGCCTCAGTCATTATTTCCACATTTTTATACGCTCAAACTATTCAGCACTCGATTTCTACTGTTGGCGATACACAGCACACATTTAAACACAACATAAGCAATCATGTGACCTACAAATGTTATTTGCGAAGTGCAGAACCGGTGTCCCAGATTTTTCACAATATCGGCGACTATATTGCGCAATAAACGTACATGACTAGCAGGTAATGGGCGAACAGCACTCACGTAAACATCCCAGAAAAAAAAAAAAAAGTAGAAGGTGACAACGCTCACTAGCTGTCAGTGATACACTTATGTCACGAGCATTAAGTGTGCTGAAATTGGGCTATAAAAAGATGAGACATCCTAGAGTTTATCACGAAAGACATAGTAATCGTAAAATATTAAAAATAAATATACTCACTTTCCTGGAAGCACCACACCGTCAGAGAGAAGATACCTCACGAACTCGCTCGTGAGAGGAACGCACACACTGCACAGGTTGACAGGTTTTCAATGAGTGGGACTGACCACAATAAATAAGTTTTATAAGGATACATGACCGAGGCCAACTGAAGCCGTTTGATATCTTCCAACTTCTAAAGGACGCTCTCGTATAATTAAAACACTCGCTTGAAACTGTCGAACGTCCGCCGAGCAATTAAGGACACCACATCTCTAGGACGGGTCAGTGAGCGACTCACCTTGCAATCGTAGCGTTTTTGAAAACGCCATACCAGGAAGAGAAATTGCAGTTGAGAACGTCTTCAATCTTCATTGCAATCGCGTCTGCTAGCTTGTTTCAAGCGACAACTCGAAAACAAGCTAGGCAAGCGAGCGACAGTCGACAGCAGCGTCGGTGAAACGTTGCATTGCACGCTGCTTTGTTTCGGTAAATTGCTCTTACAGTTTACTTCCCAATATTCGCTCGAGTAATCGCACCACGATCCCACACACGCCACACAGGACACGGCAAATGTGCAAGACGGTGCAAGACTTCTTGCGCAAAACAATCAGAAACGCGCTACGACGATTTGCCCGCGGTTTCGTATTACGGCTAGTTTGATACAATTTGACAACTTTCTTGAGTAGTAGCACCTCTATTGAGTGCAAAAAAGTAAGAAAAAGGGCAAAGCACACTCGGTTTATTTTGAAGCAGCCAACATAAACTGTTCGCAATCCCACACGACTATCCAAATTACCCAGCTAGATCGAAAGCAAGAGTGCATCGGCATCAGTGGCTGCTCCTGTCAACGTTTATAGATATATTTCAGTTTCGAAACTCCGCCGCCGACGCCGGGCGCGTCTTACTCCTAGGGGGTGCGAGGGCGCTGCGGTCGACTTTTGCGCGGTGCCGACGGGCCGGCCGATGCAGGCCTGCGTTTCGGTGTGCCAGTGGCCATGGTTTTCTGGGTCGTGCTGTGGGGTTGCTCGTTGTTTTCTTCTCGTTTTGTGGTTGTGAACCGTGTATGTGCTGTTAGTGAGTGACTGCCGATAGATTTGCTCGTTGTTTTCTTCTCGTTTGGAGGTTGTGAACTGTGTATGTGCTGTTAGTGAGTGACTGCCGATAGATTTGCTCGTTGTTTTCTTCTCGTTTTGAGGTTGTGAACTGTGTTTGTGCTGTGAGTAAGCAACTGCCGATGATAGATTTGCTCGCTGTTACGAACAGTCAACGAAGTCGCTGGCGTTCAAGGCCAGCCGCTCTCCCCCACGAGAGAGAGAGAGTAAAACTTTATTGAAGGGGAAAGGGAGAGGGGCGTTTTAGAGCCTTTATGGTTGGGGCCCTACGTCCAGGGCTCCACTGGCCTTAGCCGCCCGCCGGACTTGATCCAGTAGTGCGAGCTGCACTCCTGGGTCCGAGCTAGCGAGGTGTGCCTCCCACTGCTCCATACTAGGTGTTAAAGGTTCGCCGAGAAAATTGGTTATGTCACTTGGTTTACGATCGCACCCCCACGATATGTGGTAGAGAGTCGGTCTTCCGCCGCACCACGGACATACAGCCGGGTAAAGAGTTGGATGTATCGCGTGTAACTTCAGTAGGTGCGGAAATACATCCGTTTGAATTTTTCTAAGGTCAGTGGCCTCTTCCCCATTAAGGGATCTGTGAGGTGTTCCACATTTTTGACGCGTGAAGCGCTGGTGAGCTAGAATCTCCCTAGGTAAAATTGGCATGGTCAATGAAAGAGATGGATTCTCCGCTCGGTTACAAAACGCACGAGCTAGAGCGTCCGCCCTTTCATTGCCTTCGAGACCTGCGTGTCCCGGGCACCAGATCAAGCGATGGTGGTGAGTGAGTTTGGATCCTAGCAACCTCAGCCCCATTGCTGGAAGGCGGCCCCTTAAAAAGAGCCGGCAGGCTTCCTGGGAGTCGGATAAAATAACTGATGGCTCCCCTCTACGCTCCTGAAACCTTAAGGCTAAGGCTATGGCCATCGTCTCCGCCTTTGTAGCCGAGGTCGTGCGTACGGAGGCACTCGTTAGCAGCGTCATGTTGTTGTCGACAACAGTAATTATGTGTCTCTGCCAATCGAAACTGGCCGCATCGACGTACGCGACATTTGAAGCTGAGCCGAATTGCTTTCGAAGCCAGTTTACCCTCGCAGTACGTCGCTCAGCGTGAAATTCGTGATGCATATTTTTGGGCACCGGTGCGATTGAGATTCGCCTGCGGACCTCTTGGGCTACGTCGACCAGCTCCTCATCAATGTGCTGTGGGTGGGGCGAAATTCCTATTCTAGTGAGTATCGCCCTGCCTGCTGAAGTTTCACTTAGACGATTCCTCTGAGACATGAGGACTGCGGCACTGAGCTCAGCATAAGTGTTATGTATACCGAGAGCTAGGAGCCGCTCGGTCGGTGTGCTGGTGGGTAGACCAAGTGCTGCCTTAAAAGCGCTTCTAATGAGCACATCCACCTGGCTCTCCTCACTTCTGTCGAGTGAGTGGTACGGTAGGCCATACGTCACTCTGCTCAAAACTAAGGCCTGGACAAGCCGGAGAGTATCCTTTTCTTTCATGCCTTTTTTATGATAAGTGATGCGACGGATCATTCTAGCTATCTGTTTAACCGTAGTCTTTAAGGTGGTTATCGTGTGACTGGCTTTGCCATTGCTTTGGACCCAGAAGCCAAGTATACGGGCCTGAGTAACCTCGGCTATGGCATGGCCGTCTACCTGTAAGTTTATGGCACCGTTACTTTTGTAATACTTACTGTGTATTCTTATGAGTTCAGATTTTTCAGGCGCACAGCTCAGCCCACTATTTCTTGCGAACTCTGCCACAGCTGTCGCAGCAGCCTGGAGGGTCTGCTCTTTCAGCGCCAGTGAACCCTTCGTAGCCCAGAGTGTGATGTCGTCCGCATACAATGTATATCCAAGGTGCGGGATTGCTTCGAGCTCGTGAGCAAGTCTGCGCATAGCTATGTTAAAGAGCAAGGGGGAGATGACTGCCCCTTGCGGTGTGCCTTTATTTGGCATCGAGAACGGCACCGACCTCGTGTCGCCTATCCCAATAGTTGCCGTCCGCCCAGAGAGGAAGGATTTAATGTAGTTAAATGTACGCTTTCCGCAGCCGATTGTGTTGAGTTCAGAGAGAATGGCCTCGTGCGAAACATTATCAAAGGCCCCTTTGAGGTCGAGGGCCAAGACCAAATGTTCGCCTCCCCTGGGTACGCAACTCATGACCTCTTCTTTTAAAAGGAGGAAGGCATCCTGGGTTGAGAGTCCGGAGCGAAAACCAATCATGGTAGCGGGAAACAGATTTTCTTTTTCAATGTAATTTTGAAGCCGTGTCTGTATTACTCGCTCGTAGAGCTTGCCCATGCACGAAGTAAGCGAAATGGGCCGCAGGGCTCCGAGCGATGGTGCTTTACCGGGCTTTGGTATAGTTATTATTTTGGCTTCCTTCCACTCCGGAGGAACGTGACCTTGGGACCAGCAGTGGTCGTTAAGAAATTGCGTTATCTGCTCAAGAACCTCAGTGCTGAGGTTTCTTATCATAGCGTTTGTTATACCATCCGACCCCGGCGCAGAGTTCCGATTGGCTGCCTGGGCTGCCGCGAAAACCTCTTCTTTCGTGATTGCGGCGTCTAATGTGGCATTCTCGCTGCCGATGTACTCTAATGTACATGGCGGAACCACATCAGTACCGATATAACGGTCTTTAAGCGCCTGGATCAACTCTCCGTCGGTGCCGGGGTAGCTGTGTACTATTCTTTGAAGAATGCGGTTCATGGAGGACTTAGATTTGTCCGGCTCCAGCATGGACCTCAGTATCGCCCACGTCTGGCTAGTCCCTAGTGTACCGCGGAGAGAACCGCAAAACTGCACCCAACCATCGGTGGCAAGTTTCGTTGCGTATTCATTCGCTTCCTCCGACAGAGCAGCGATTCGCCTGTAGAGGCAGCGGTTGAGGCGTTGTTTTTTCCATCTCTTGATCAGGCGTCGCCTACTATCCCACATGTGCAATAGGTGCCGGTCTATCGCAGGCGCCTCAACTGTGCGCGCTATTTTCTTAGAGGTGGCATCATGCGTTTCTCGAATGAAAGCAACCCACCCACTGACATCACAGGGCGTTTGCTCCGGCAGAGGGCGCTTTCGAAAGGTCACCCAGTCTGTCATCACAACGTCACCAGCGACACGACGAACTTTTGGTGATGCTATAGAGGTGCTAAGAATATAATGGTCACTACCAAGGTTTTCATCGAGGTTTGACCACGTGGCATTTTTAATGTTGAAGGTGAAGGTCAAATCAGGGTACGTGTCCCTGCTAATGCTATTACCAAGCCTGGTGGGTGCTGTTGGCAGAGTGATAAGGGTAAAACCTAATTTAGACGTGGTGTTCTCTAATAACACTCCCTTGGGTGAATCCCGGACGTAGCCCCAAGCGGTGCTCGGAGCATTAAAGTCGCCCACCACCACTAATTGATCTCTGGTGCCAACGGCTCGAACTGCCTCGTTTAGAAGTGGGCCGAAGTCGTCATTCCGGTTTTTGGGAGGACTGTATATGTTTAAAATTTTCGTTCGTACTTTTCCTCGTTTTTGTGGGAAGACATCGATAATTTGGTGATTAATGTCAGTCTGATCGTAATGGTCTAGCGCAACTGTCATGAAGTTACTCACCAGCGCTGCAACGCGGGGGTATTTTGGATCGTATAATGTGTAATATCCCTGCAATTTGACGGGACGGTTCCCAACTTCTTGCAGGCATATTACATCAGGTGGGATTAGTGCCGAATGGATGTAATTCTGCAATGCCGCCGCTCGTTTGTGGAACGTGCGACAATTCCACTGCCAGATTTCTAGGTGGTCGGAGTTTTGCGTGGAATTAGTTCGCGCCATGGTGACTACTGCCTTTATTGGGGGGTGTCTGCTTTCCTCCGTGATTCGACGGTCCTTCGGTAGTGGACTGCTCGCGGAGGTAACACTGACCCGCTTGTTGATGGCACGCTGAATGCCTACAACTGAGTCATTAACGTATCGTCTTTGTTGTTCCGTTTCTGCTGCAAACTCTTTCCTGTACTCCGAAAACATTTGATGCATTTGCTGCATCATCTGCTCTCGGAGTTCAGACGCTGCTCGTTGCTGTTGTGATTGGAGTTCTCGCATTAAGTTTCGCAAGCTCTGCAACTGTTCCCCCATCTGTAACTGGATAACGTGGGCCTCCTCGCTAAACCTCTGAGGTATGTCTACTTTCGCCGTTCCTCCCTCCAAAGAGTGGGCTACGGTTGCCCTGGAGATAGCATGAGTGGCGTTGTTGTTCGCCTCTAAGGCGTTAAGCCTGGCTTCAAGTTTGGTTTCTAAAGATGATATGATTTTGTGGAACTCCCGGCGTTCCTCCTTAATCTGGCATCGAAGTTTCTCGTTTTCTAAAGCAAGCTGCTTATTCTCGGCAACCATTTTCTGATATTCGGGATTCTCAATTAAGGGAGCAGATGGAGACACAATCCTCGTCCAGCTCACCGTGTTTGCTGGCTGGCAGGCGGCTGCCTCCGTCCCCTCTTTGGGCGGCGTCAAGATTTGTACCAGCGCTTTCTTCTTCTGCTGCTGATGCTGCTGCTGTTGCTGCTGCTGCTGTTGCTGTTGCTGTTGCTGCTGTTGCTGCTGCTGCTGCTGTTGTTGTTGCTGCTGCTGTTGCTGCTGTTGGTGCTGCTGCTGATGCGGCTGTTTGTTGAGTCGTTTTCTGGACGCAGACTGGGCTCGACCCTTTGAGGAAGCCCGTGACTTGGATCTTGAACGTGAGCGTGATTCCACTGACGAGTCCCGCTCGGAGCTGAACCAGCGTGGATGGTGCCTCCGTTTTGGCTGATCCACTCGGGACCTCCTAGGCGGAACGTGTTTAAGCTTCTTCTTGCACATTTTGTCACCTGTCATATGGTCCTCACCACATATCACGCACTTAGGGGTACACGCGTGTCCTTGTGCGGGTTCACGTGTTCCACACGTGGAGCATACATTGGCGTCGGGCGTTGGGCACACGTCAGTTCGATGCCCTGTGGAGTGGCATACCTTGCAAGCCTGCCTCGTAGGCTTGTGGGGATAACAGATGGCTTCCGCTCCCATGAAATAGACGCACCTAGGCAGTGTGCTGCCCGTGAAGGTAATGATGGCGGTCTTCGTAGATCCGAGCATGCGTGCCCGCTCAATCTTGACCCCCTGTGTTCTCACACGGAGATTCGCCATGAGTTCTGCTTGAGAAGTCCCCGACGGAATACCATGGACTATGCCTCGTAGGACGTCCTCAGGATCCGCCACATACGAGTTGAATGAGTGCACTCGTCCCCTGATATTCAGATGCGTGATCTCTCGCAGCTCTTTGGCTACATGCTCGTGGGGCGTCGATACGATGATAATATTCGAGCCCGGGTGGACGCGCAGCATGAAGCTACCACCGTCGAAGTGTCGGTGGCAAGCGTCTATCACAGCGGTGGAAAGTTCATAGCCGAGTATGTCTTTTACGGCGAGGCCTTTGTGAGGCCTAAGGATGATCTTTATGTCGTCCTTTGGCAGGGGCGGGAGCGGACGGCGACTTCTCGTACGACGTCGGCGCTTCACCTGACTTCCCTGCTTCGGTGGGCTGCTTGACGAGGCGTTGCACTCCACAGCTTCTGACGCGTTTTTCTGGTTTTTCTTCTGGTTCTTCTTTTGCCGGCGTGTCAAAACCGTGTGCCAGCCATCCTCCGTCCATGCGGCACCATCGTGGCGTTCCCCTGCAGACACATTGTCGACTTCTTCGGACGAACCCTGCGGTAACCAGGTCTGAACGTCCATTTGAGTGGTTTCTGTAGCAGACTCCTCATCTGTGTGAACCAGTGGCTGCTCCTGAGGAGACCTCGGTGTTTCCTGAAGAGCGTCCATCCGCCGACGCTTGAGACGCGACCACGACGCAGACGCCGCTATGCTGCGGTGCGTCTGGCCGGGCGCGACGGTCGCTGCCTCGAAGTTTTCAGCTTGCAGAAAACCGAAAAACAGCCACTCACCGCTGAAATTCGACGTTCACTGTTCGCTGTACTTTCACGAATCCGATGCACTTCAAACAACCAGAAATCGCCGAAAAACCATAGAAAATCTGCGGAGCCGATGCGACGCGCGTCCGCACACCGTGGCCCCCTAGCGGCCGATCTGGTCTCCCCCACGAAGTGCTGTCCGATTCCTCGCCGTGTCCCAGGCTTCACATGTGAAATGCCATAACATTCAGCCAACGTGCCGACGTGTTTTGTGCCTGGCCGCACAAGCGGATATAGGAGTAACCCCGACAAGCGGCACTTTTTTGCCCCACCGTCGGACCCAGAGCTTCTTGACAGGTGGCGAAGGGCCATTCCCCGCGCTGATAAGTTGCTCAGCAAAACATGCAAGGTGTGCGACGTTCACTTTCAGCCGGCAGACATCACGAAAACATATAAGCATATCATCAATGGTGAAGTGGTGGAGGTTGAGCGGGGTGCATGGGCTCTGAAAAGTGGTGTCGTTCCGACGCAATTCCCGAACTTACCCTGCTATCTGTCTTCTGCACCGAAGAGGCGGCGGTCGCCGAAAAAGAGAGCAAGTGCTTGTCGGCGTGCAGAGACTGTGTCTTGCCACCCACCTCCCGAAGAGCCAAATGAGCTTCCGAGTGATTGCGAGAGCACTGATCTCGCGTACATTATCGAGAACAGTGCCTCACTGCGGCTACCTCGGAATTGGCAGTTGTCAATTGTGGAAGATGAGCCAGAAAACAGCCGGCAAGCAATTTTCTACGAGGCAGGGATGAGCACAGGTGTTTTCTCTATCATGAAGAGCGTTGTGATACGATAAGATCTTACGTTATTTCAGCGAACGGAAAACTGCTGCAAGAGTCGCTTGTTGACGTGCGGGTACGCTCCCAGAAAGACGTTGAAGCGATAGTGCAAATATTGCACATTATGAAATTCTGCCTTGGGTGCACCCGCAGTGAGGTCAGTGGTTCCGGAAAATCTGCAGAAGGAAGTGAAGCTGTGCACCACAAAGACTGTACAGTTTTGACAAATGCTGACAAAGGAATGTGTGCCTTGTGTGTTGGCACATATTGAGAGAGAAAGCAGGCAAAACTTGTTTGAAATTGCACAGTTGTTTCCTGAAGTGTGTAAATAAAGAAGATTGCATTTTGAATTTTATCACTTGATTGTCTCGTGTTCATCACCTTAGTTGCATGCATGGTGATTTTTGTGTCTAATGTGGGAAACTGGCAGTAAAAATACCAGCGAGAAATATATGCAAAGCATTAAAATACTAGTGAGGACGAGGCATACCCGGCCCTCGTTTGGGCATACCCGGCCGAAATGAGGGCTGGGTATGCAGGGCGCAGTTAAAGCATAAGCTTGTGGCCTCGAGTGTTCCGAATGCGTAGAAAATAATACAGCGGTGCGTTGCGACACGCATTAAGAACTTCACACACCAGAGTGGAGCGCTTAAGATTTAAAAGGTGCAACGGGCGTAATAAAATCAGACGGCTTGCTAAGCCCGCTGCGCAAGCGCAACGTTGGAGCTAGCAGACGACGCTCGCAACGATAGCGCAATTCTCGACTGCAGCGCCGCGGTGTCAGGAACCGCAGCGGGCCGGCTGCGTTCAATGGCCGCGGCGGCGAGTTTCTAAACTGAAATATATATTTATAAACGTTGGCTCCTGTTTCAGTTCGCGTTTGAAGTCTCGATTTCGCAAGTGTTTCCAAATTTAGAGAGATTGTGAGCATGAAAGCATACTACAGTGAATGCTAAGTGAACATGGATTTCGACGACGATGGCGTCATACTGCCGGTAAAGTCTATCACGATCCTGTGAAGCAGTTTCAGTTCGATCGCAGCGGTGGTTCGATTGTGGATCACTCAAAACACTGCGCGTTTGTCAAACCACACGCTCACAGTCGCGTTTTTCTCGGAGTTTGAATGTTTTATAGTGTTGTAGCGTTTCGCGGGTGCACGATCGGTGGTGTGGCTGGTAGTGATAACTGTATCGTTTCATTTGTGTTTCAGAATTCGCCGTTGTATGCTCACCTCACCGAAGCCGGGTTTGAACTTCCCGACACGGAGGTTGCGTTTGTGCAGACTTCGGATGATCGGCGCCCAACGCTGAAAAAAACGTGCCATCTGCCTCGTTCCAAGATACTCTCTTTCCTGGTACGCTAGCAATCGCGTACTTTAGCCCCCGTGGCCTTTTCAGAATATCCTCTTGAACCGAAGTAACAAAGGCCTTGCGTTGTAGATCGCAAGTGGAACAGAGTTTTACTTTCCAAAGTTCGCCCTCTAGGTGGAGAATCCCCGCCACATGGTGTCATAGCGATGTTATAAGGTTGGCTTATGGACACTTCTGATTGCGATTGGGATCGAATTTCTATCAGCCGCGATTGGCTCCCTTTCTCATTTGCAAATAAGCTAATCGCGATCAAGAAATTCGATCCCGATTGGTCTCTGTCGCAGTCGATCAGAACTGTGCAGTGTAACAAGTATAACGCCTTTGCAATGCATGGAGTGTTGTGTGCTTTTTTTTTCTTAATATGCCTTCCTTGTCTAAGGCAATTTTCTATTCTAATGGTCGGCAAATAATGTGAAGTCGACTAAATGGTCGACAAATTATATGATATGTATAATCAGTAACGAAGTATGTTGTACACAACTCGTCTACCATTGCATGGTATTATTATTACTATGTGCTCTTGCTATTACTATGTGCTCTTATTATTATTACTATGTGCTATTATTATTACTACGGTATAATTACTATGTGCTCGCTTAGGTGGTTACAATCTGCTGATGTACGTAGTATAAATGATCGATAAAACACTGGGAGTTGCACAAGGTGATGCTAACCTTATGACGGTGTTCGATACGGTGGGATATGTATTGAGGATTAGCTGGTCATAAAGGATCAAGGGTTGCACATCTTCATATTTCCCAACTGGATAGATTTGTAGTCACTTACACAAAACCCATGTTGTCTATTTTCAGCCAAATGTACTCACCATTTTTTCAAATGGGCTGTACAAAGCGAAATCTGCAGTTCTACAATCATTTCACTACTTTGTGAGTATTGCCTACTCTTCAACATTCTAATAATCTTAGTTACAGCTTGTGTCCACACCATCAGGTTTCTAGTGGTATTACCAAGCACTCATTGTATGTCCGTTGACCACAGTTCTGTGTTGCTCTTCCAAAACAAATATTTTTTGCTCAACACAAGAGATTATTGGTCGATCAAATTCAGTGACAATGGCTGTCATTTGAGCCAAGCTCTTGTTTCAAAACTTGCAAAAGTAAGAATTCTGAAAGTGATAGCCCCAGCTGTGCATGCTTTGCATTTATTTTCTGCTGTCATCTCCTCAAATAGTTGTAAAAACTACAGTATAATTAGTACTTCTGCAGAAATGTACTCGCTTATTTGATATTTTAATTGTTGTAAAGATCAGAATGCCTAGATATCATTTGTTTGATTGGGGACATTAAGTGCACATTAATCAGCACACTAGCAAAAAAAAAAAAAGTCTGCAGCATTGCTACAGGTTTGCACAAGGAATTCTTTGAGTTCTATAAATAGCCACCAATAAATATGAATTCCTGTATTCACAGAAACATGCTTACACAACTTTATTAACCATAGCTTTGCAAGCAATGTTACATTAAGGGAACGCTAAAGTGAAACAAATACTTGCTTTAGATAGACAAACTGTGCTCTGAGAACTCTGATGTCGCGAGTTTAACCATCATAAGTTCATTGTTAGGCGAGAAAATCACGGTCTCATTTTTAAATTTCAGGCCCAAATCTCAATTTCTCAAATCTCAAATCACAATTTTAAAATGTATTTTTGACATTTTAGCTACATTGGCTCGATAAACTTCTGAAACATGCTATGTTATGTCTATGGTACCCACAGATAATAATGTACTTCATTTTAACTGACTAGCAATTACGTAGCACATAGTAGACACCGTCGAAATTCATGGCATCATGGTGTTTGATGTGCGAATCTCCAAGTGGCATCTCCACCTGCATTTTTTTTTTTGCGCATTTTCACACTTACTAAGTGTAGTATTGCGAAATTTTTCGGATTCCAGAATTGTGCCTTACCAATGCACAAAACATTGTTTTCCCCTTTAGTGTCACTTCAAAGGCCCCTAAACCACCCAGAGGTCGAAATTCAGTGTTTGGGGTGCAGTTGTGCATGAGTCTCCAACAAACATGTAGCTGCAAGAACTTTTCGAAACAGTTTTGTGACAGCAGAGTTGCACGCATTTGATTATTAAAAAGCAGCCCTCGTTCACTTTATTCCATATCTATGCTCTATTCCCCGGTTCGTCTTTCCTCCTATCTGAGTGCTCCTTGCCGTGCGAGGAGGAAGAGCGGTGAGCGCACGCACCTGTGAGCAGACTAGCAGGTTCTTTTTGTGGATGACATGAACAGGTGCATATGGTGATGTCATGGCCAATGCTAGGGATACCGAAAGGCCCAGAGAGGATAAGAGATTGTTCCTTAAGAACTCGTGGCCAGCTCGTGGCTCGTAGTTCTGCCTTGTTTGGCATTGGTGATTGGTACAGCATCCTGATTTCGCCGCGCATGGTTACTTGAAATGTTAAATAATTATTGGAGGTGGTTTAGAGACCCTCTAAAGGGTTTCCCATATTCATAATCTATACATAGCAACATATGAGCAATAAACACAGGAGTAACAGGAAATATGCGCCATTGCATGCGTAAGCTTGTGCAACAGCACAAGTAGTGGTAACGGACACACCGCGTGGAAGTGTTACTTTCATGATTTCTTCAAGTCAAAGTTTTATTAATCAATGAAATTTCAAGCTTTTATGTTCATTTTTCAGGACGGAGAACCCTTCTTAGAAGAGATCTTGGGAAGCCCATGCCTCGATGAGGAAGACCAGAGGTTTTTGAGAAACCTCCTTGAAGCTAGAGATGTTAGTGTAAACAAAGAAAATTTTCAAGGCAGCTTCCTGTGAGTACATCTCTCTTGATCTTGTAGCAGTAACAGACTAAGTGTGGAAACAATTCTAATTTACAATGAAAACGATTGCATGATTGCAGATTTGCTTTGTTTGCAGTGTTTAGCAGAGTCTCACACTTTGGCATCAGAACTCTCTTTTCTCTGTCACTAGTGTAGGTCTAGCATGTTTTAGCTTACATAGATGCCAAAGTAAAATTTGGTTTGACAGCATATCTTTCTCATTCTTTGTCTTAGCTTATCGTTAATGATTCTTGTGAATTTCGAGATTTGTTTATGAAACAGCAGAAGTGCATTATCGAGTTCAGCAATACTGAATGACTGTGACAAACTTATTACACCAAGGATGAGATAAATATTATGGCATGGGTAAAACTTGCTTGTCATCATTTACATGATAGAACCTGCAAATAAAAGGCTGCAGAAACATGATGGATGAAAAGTTGTATGTTGGGCACTTTTTACTGATGCCAGCTGGTGCAAAAGTATCAAGTCTACAATTTGTTGCTTAGGTGGAAGTTCAAGGTTATGAGAAGAAAAGGCCCGCTATCACAAAGGCATCTACCTCTAAGAATGTAACCCGTGTGCGTACAGGCCTGAGCTACTGCTTGGAAGTAAATTGTGATGATGAGCATTTACCGGTGGGTGGAGATGACGTGATGGGCAGGACATAGTAGATGTGGAATAAAAACCTTCAGGAGTGAGGTTGGACAACCTTTCACGTAAAATTACGAACACCCTGTTTCACCAAGTGGAGTGATACTGGGCTCACAGGTTCAGGCCAGTATCGTCTACAATCTGCAAATGTTCTCTCACCACTTAAAAGAAAATGTAGCATTGCAGTGAATCACTAAAAACTGCATTCTCATAAATTGACATTTGTGGTTTCTTTTTTGTTTTCTCTGCAGTACATACAGCATTGTTGCTGCTGTCATCGTGTGCCTCATTGCCAGATGTTTGTCTTCAGAGCAACAGAGCAGTGCCGAGAGTGTACTTTTAGGAATGGTGGCCTGTGCACTGCTGTTGGTTGCCGGAATGATGCTCGTCAAGTACTGCTTTTTGCGTCAGTACCGAACAAACATTCACAGCCTGCTTTGGACGATGCAAGAAGTTCGAGTCATGATCAGGAAGTGCTTGCAGATTATCCAGGAGGCTGAAGTGGTGGCCCGTGGATTTACCCTGTGAGCCTCTCTTTGCTGATATGCAACAAAACTTTGTAGTCCGAAGTGAACTTGGGATCTTATCTTAAGCCTGTCGGTATTTCTCTTAAAAAGCAAATTTTTCAGGGCTACAATTGGGAAATACTTTACACTAGCAAAGGTGGGTAGAAGATTGAACTACCCATAAAATCTATAATCAGGATTACATATGAACTAGGGATTGTAGTTCACATTACCTGTCACTTTTTATTGTGTGTCACACAGTATACAGATAATCAACAGTGGTTCAACACTGTAAATTTTTATCGGGACTTCAATGACACAACCCGTGTTGAAATACTGTTTGCCGAGACATTTCTTATTCAATATTCCCTTGCATATTAAATAAACCTCCATGTTCCCAACTTCTTAAGCATACAACTGAGTAATGTGGTACGTTAGTTTATGTCAAGAGATGTTTGTGCTAGACATTTCAAAACAAGTATCATCCAGTTCTGTCCAGTAAACTAGTATAGTCAAGTATGACCAGCACCTATTGTTTTTTGAACTGTGCACTGTAGATGGTGTGCATTGGCAAATACTACCTCAACTGTTCAGTGTGTGGCATGAACTGCGTTTGCATGCTTTTGGCAGCTTTGTCATTAGCAGGATTTAGAGGACAATGCCCGGCTGTGTTTCAGGGCATCTCACAATGTTCCTGTTCACCGAATCGAGATGAACGTGCTCATGCCGAACTTGGATCCTCAGAGACAGTGCCCCGAGCTACGGAAGTCAGTGTTCCTGTGGACCCGAGAGCTGTTCCTCATCGGGAAGAGCGCCACCTTGGAAGCCATTGAGTCATACCCTTTCAATGAAACCTTTCTTTTGTGTGTGTGTGTGCATGTGCATGCTCATACGCACTCCGTTCATGGATACAAATGAACATGTATTCAATAATTTCTCTTATTCTGAAGTCAACTTGCTTACGCTGAGCAGAGGATGAGTCTGAATCTGATTGAGCAGTAAGCAAGAAATACGATTTGTAGTCCGAGTGAGTAAAGCTTGTTTTGCCAGCCTGTGTGCGCAGCTGTAATGCAGTCTTGCAAACCTTAACCATGCTGTCAGTACACTGTTCCACTTGAAGGTGAACTCGATGTGAGCGCCATCTACCTGGCATACACGGCACCTGAAGATGTCAGCGTAGAGCTTTTTGCGCCGCTCGGCAAAGCTCTTGAAGAAGGAACTGAAAATTTCTCTCTCTCATCTCTCAAGGTAACGTGTGCTGCTCGAGTATTGCTGCTTCAGTCTTGGTGTGAATGACTCGTTTAGTTTGCTAACTGTGAGCTCCCTGTGGATACCACTGTTCTTTGATGAATTCGTAATTTTGGTATAGAAAACACAGATGATGCGGGAGGAGCAAAATATCCTACACGGGCATTTTATTTGGCCATTTCGCTCTTGCGCCTGCATCATATAAATCGGAATTTTTGAGCGAGAAATTATTACAATTTAATTATAAATGAAATCTGTACAAATTGTATCATAAATAAAATTAACATGACAGTCGTTACCATACCTGCTACGTCTTCCAAATTTCCTACAATATTTACGAATTTGGGTTTGTATTCAGCAGTTCAAAAAAAATTTTGTCCCAAGTTTTATCAGAAATGAATTCTATATTTGGAAAACATCTTTTTCTATGTCCTTGGAAATGCTGCGATTGCAAAGTAGCCTGAGACCCACCCACCTGCTTAAATCAACCTCATACAGTCAGGTTCCTGAAGAAAGCAAAGTAGGCAGCAAGATTGTTGCTGAAAAGGTCATCATACTGTTCTTTTTGAAAGGGGGTTTATTAACGTCTGGTAGCAGGCACAGAGCCGGTACAACCCGAAACAGTTTAACAGGCTCAGCTTCCAGAGCTTGTGCACAGCGCTCGCGCTTCGCACTACGAGACTGGTGGTTGCTTTGCTGCTTCACCAGTACATTTTTTTAAATTCATATATCTTGTTAATTTATCCAGTTCCAAGTTTGCTGCAACTTTCCTGCTTTGCTTAAAGGGATCCTACATCACATTTCTAAGTAATGCTCGAATTACTTCAAAAAAAAAAAAAAACTTATTGCCTTACTGATTGTCTGCCGCCAAAAATTTTCGAATTCGTCAAGCACAAGCACAGTTTCAGGAATTTATCACACACCTGTTGTGGTTTATCTCTCCTTTCGTACTAGCGAGCAAGCTTAAAGCTATGCTGTGAGGGGAATGGCAAGGGGGCAAGATCTACGGCTTCGTCAGTGCATGTCATGACCTGTAGCACTTCTTTTCATTCTGTTTTACTACCGACACATGGGTTACTTTCAATGTGATTGCAAGCATATGTGCAAGCACGTGGCGGCATTTTACAGTAACCACGGTAGCTGTGCAGCTCACAATGCTCAAATCAGCCAGAAGCTGTGGACTTTGGGCATATGGCGCAGTAATTTAGGTAAACTCATACCTCAATATAACGAACCTGGATATAATGAAATATCGGTTATAACACAGTAAATGAAAAATAGTTTTGCAATATATATAGTGTTAGGAATAAACCTCGATAACGAATTTTAGGATATAACGAACTTATTATTATGTGAGATGCAACGTTGTTATACGCAGGTTTGAGTGTATGTGGCATCATTTGCAGAGAAAATAGGGAGCGATTGCTAGCTGACTTTGAAAATCAGTTGTAAATTCCAGGCCGCATGCGACGTTGTAATGCTCAGATTGTGTGTTCTCAGGAGCCTCGACATCCGATCGGCAGCATTTTATGACCATGCTGAAAAAGTGTATCGAAGCCCATCGAAAAGTAAAACCGTCTTTAATAATCTGCGTATGCATCACCAGATCAGAATTATATATGTATAAGACTATATGGAAAGTGAGGAAAATAATGCAGATTATAATGTGGCTATATTGTCTATTTATGCAGGCCATGCTGTATCTCATGCACATTCAGCACTCGGAGTTTCTCCGGAGGCTGTCACTGTCTTTGATTCCTGGAATCAAGAAAAGCTGTGAGTGCTACTTCGATCATTTTTGGTTGCAGCTTGGACCTTTGCCATTGCAAGCAATCATGCATTCGAAGCATTTGTCGAAAGATTAAATGAATATTTAGAGTTATTTATTTGTATGTTATGGCACTTATGCAAGATCTAGAAAGGTATACTCTTATGGTCCATTTCGTGAGCATTGGGACAGATCGTACTCAGTTACTCGAGAAAGCGGCAAGCTGTCCCGTCACTGCTCTCTTGACCACGTCGATCCACCGCACCGGCACAGCACACTCAGCTTCCGAAGGACGAAAGTGGATGAACTGTGCAGTCTCAGAATACCGCAAGACAAAGTTGACATGTCTGTTCTTGCGTATGAGCCTGTCCAAGGTACCTGTGGATGGTGCAGGGAATACATACTGACCTCTGCAGATGCTTTAAGTGGGAGGATGCATTAAACCTAACTTTAGGGCTAATGTGATCACAGAATCAGAGTTTAGGCACGGCCTTAGAGATTCGCATGGAGAAAAACAGCATTCAGAAGGCTGAATCCACGGTAGTGAAGTGCACTCTAGTCCTCTCATTGGTGTCGAGAGTTGTAAAAGCCCTGAGACGTCAAAATTATGTTGAGGAAAAAGAACTGAAAACTGGGGCACACTGCTCATCAAGCTTCAGCCAGTCGACAGTGACCAAAACGAACAGCCCACTAAATGGACTGTTCGAGAATAGCTCCCCTAGTATAGTCACCGACACACGTGTCTTCTTTCTCTCTCTTTATTTCACTCCCTCATTCCCCTCACCACATGTAGGCAAGAACACTGGACAAAGTCCACTGAACCTCTCTCTACGCAATCTATTAAATCAGTCAATAGTTACGTGTGATTTGATCACTGCTGCATTCGCAGGTCTCTTCGACGCACTCTCCTTGAAGACAATCGTTGCCGACCTCAGAGCTAGCATTCAAGCGCAGCTGAGAAACTTCTGCAATGCCTACCAGTTCTACAAGAGCAGTCAGGTGACAGAGGAACTAGAGAGCAGGCCGCTGCGGTCGCTGCGTGCAGCACCCCACGAGCTTCACATGGCCACTCACAGTTTGGGGCTTCATTTGATGGCAGCCCTGAAACGGTAATATTTAAAATTTTTTTTTCATCCATAATGAATCGGCATACGAATAAAACACCTCATCCTTCACCTCAGTAACTGCAGGGCAAGTATGGTACAATACTAACCAATAGTAAACTACATAGTTGAACATGTTAATGGCATTTAGAGAGTCATGTAAATACTATAAATTGTTGCTCCAATACTTCCTGTCCAAACCATGTTGAACAACAATGTATAGCCTTTAGATCGGCAAACTGTACTTTTGACAAATTTCTGTGTGGCCACTATATACACAGAAAAGTGCCTGCAAAGCTAGTCCTTCCATTACATGGCTTAATTTTCATGTTGTTAGCCTCATTGCAGTGGTGTTGCAATCTTCATTGTTTTTGCTACTTGCCCTTGTAATATTTTCAATCGCTATGTATATTTTGCACAATTTTGTAGCGACCTGTTAGAGGTCTTTCTACAGTCTTGTTACGTTTTTCACTGTACATCAGCGCTCATTGCTAAAGGGGTACTGACACAAAATTTTGGCCTCGCGTTTTTTTTTTTTTTTTGCTGCCATGTGCTTGTGGGTGCCTATTTTGACAAGTCTATTTTGGCAGCACGTGGTTGATAATTAATTACAGGCTTGTTATTGTCTACCAGTGTCAGTTTCGGTTTAAAAAATGACAAGTCACCGGTTGCAACTATCACCACCTAGCAGGTGCAATGCTTCACCATATCAGCACACAGAACTGTCACGCAGTTCCACGGGATTCGCATCGAGAAGTTTTTCGAAGAGGAAACGGGACAACAATATCATCAAACACAAAGCTTTCAACTCGTGCTCCACGGGCATGGACTAGGGAGCAGCTGCCAAGTAATAGTCTGCTGGAGCAAATGCTACCAAAGAAAAATGGTGGCTATAACGTCGTCATAACTTGCTGCAGTGTGCTCACGTGAGGGAAGTAGAGTGTCGCCAAGGGTCCCCTTTGAAGGTGCTGTAAGAGATGGGAAGATCGATGGCATATGGCGGGTTTCTTCACGGTAGCTGGCTCCCCGCCATCGTCCACATAGCCGATGCTCGCCAGTGAGGAGAAGCGTACTTAGAGGGACAGAACAAATGTTTATTTACATGATGAGAATGATGGAACTGTACAAATATTCAGCAGAGATTCAGCTTAGATTTCGCGATTATTTACGAAAAGTCTTTGGCTTTTATAGCCCGTCGTCTCTTTACGCGGAGGTCGGAAGAAGGCGGTGGCGACTCTTGCCACAAATCAGGTGACGAAGTCTCAGTGGTCCACCCACCGGAAAGGGTGCAGAAATTGGGTCTCTCATGAGAAGAAAAATGTGGGTGAAAATGTCCAGTGGTTATCATGAGCGCACCACACAAAGACACACCCGGCCCACGCTTTCAAGCATCACAGGGCGAGGAGGTAGGGCCCGGTGAAGGGGGAAAGTTGTGCTCCTCCAGGGAGATGGCTGCTGACACGAACGTCAACAGTGGTCCAGGGCTGCGTTCTGCTGTGTTCCAGAACTTTCTCGAACACATCTGTCTAGGTGCTCATTTCCTGAGGACGGCCACAGCGACGTCTTCCCACACTTCCGAACTGTCAGCGCTTTTGTGGTGACCTCGCGTACAAGGCGACAATAGCAGAGTCAAGATGCAGACTCCATGAGAACTGCCACAGTGGCGCCGTCTCACGCTTTTCGAACCCGATTCAACAAAGGCACGTTCGCAAAGCTTTTGTCGAGGTCCACGTAACCTGACCACAGCAAACTGCCAGGTCAACCTGCAGGACAGCGTCATGTGTTTTGCTTCCGTCTGGGCGCTAATATCGGGGAGAAAGCCTTCTTGCAGACCGGCTCACTCACAATGGCGTCTGCTAAGACGAACTGCCTGGCCAAACGTAACCGCAAACTTCAAAATTAATTTAAGATATCTTCCAAGCTATATTTGCTGCTGACATTTTGCAGATGATATACACATGTTCACAGGAATCCATCCAGCAGGCTATCTCGGCCGCGAAATTTTGTGTCAGTACCCCTTTAAAAATCATAGTGCTTTTTAGCCACACTTCACACACAGCTGCAGCCTTATTCTTTCACCACCTCTGTCCTCGCTGTGGAAATCTGGGTAAACTGGGTAATTAGCTGGAGATTATACTACGATTACGTTTTATTACCTAACTAAATGACTCTACAAAACGATCAGGCTAAGAAAAACATAGGGGACATAATTGTTGTCTCTAATTGTAGTGTAGTAAAAAGGCATTGATTGAAAGTAGCGAAAGTGCACAAAACCCACGCTTTCTTTAAATGAGTTTGAGCCCACAGCATTTGAAGTTGCAGGTTCCAACGCTACTGGTGGAAAGGGTGTTTTCTAATTTTTTAAAATTACGTCATAGTTACTACGCTGCACTTAAAGATGCCTTGCAGTACGGATTATGGTCAGAAAATGCTGCAGATGATTAGTCGAGGCACCTGAGAACAAGCAAGTAAAACAGCAGAGCAGGTGGCTTGTAATTGACAATTTTCAAAGTGAGCTGTAAATAGTTCTATATTCTATCTACAAATGATTCCATATACTTAAATGACCGTGCTATATACTCAAATTCAGAGCCAACGGCAGATTTGAGCATCATGAGCTAGGTAGTTACCGTGACTGCCACTAGAGGCAGCCACATGCCCGCACACGCACTCGCGATCTCACAGAAGGTTAGCTGCGTGTTCAAAGAAAAGAAAAGGTGCTCGAGGTCATAACATATGCGTGAAATAAGTTCTTTCTCCCATGCCATTCCATCTTGCTTAACTTCCAGCGTGCTCGTTGAGACGAGAGAAGAGAAAAAGCAGTAACAGTATGCAACTAAGCTCTGTAACTCCCCTCGTACTTGAGGGATTCTAAAGATTTGAGCGGTAGACGATTCGTTTGGCAATAACTCCTTTAATGAAGCCATTTGATGGTTTTTAAAAAAGTGTTTCAGCACCCTTCCGAAACCAATGTCCCCTATGCTTTCCTTGGCATAATTGTCTGTTGGAGCTTCGTGCAAAAACGATGTCTTATTCAGTGAAATGTAAACTGAGGGGCAACTATCTCTAGTTAACCTGCTATAGTGGTTTAGTAGCTAAGGTACTCATTCGGCTGCTGAGCGGCAGGTCGCGGGATTGAGTCCCGGCCGCGGCAGCTGCATTTTCGATAGAGGTGAAATGCTAGATGGAGGAGACGTCCCTGTGTGCTTAGATTTAGGTGCACACTAAAAAACCCCAGGTGGTCGAAATGTTCGAAGCCCTCCACTACGGCATCTCTCATAATCATATTGTTGTTTTGGGGTGTTAAATTCTAACAATTATTATTATTAATACTAATAATTATCGCTAGTGTAATAGTTTTTGTTGTATTCATTAGGTTGTGTCTAACAAAGCAATAGCTCCCCAATAAAATTCCCATTATTTTAGTTCAATTCTAATTACATATCGCAGTTCCCAGGCACTGGAAAGCATCACAGAATCCATTGGGGAGGATTCTCAAATTGAGCCGCTGGAAGCCAATCTCAGCTGCCTACTTTCTGAAGTCAAAGCAGAGCTTGCATCAAGCTGCAGCTGCCTTGAAGAGGTCTCCATGCTATTGGACAAGCAATCAGGTGGGCTGTGACACAAGTCATCGATGGTTATGAAGTAAAGCCATTTCATTCTTTGTTTCGCATCTGCCAACAATGCTCCTTGCGATTGGTCACAATGCTTGGGCCATGCCCGGTGTGTTTCTTTCTAAGGAGATGCAACAACAGCCTCAAAAATGCCCCATCACATTAATACACTGAAGGCGCATTTACACTAGAGAGACACGACACCGATTATGGTCTACGGGCTGTCTTTGGAAGTGTTTTTTTCTCTTGTCGTCGGCCTATGTACACTGCAAAGGCACAAACAGTCTGCCGGTGGTCTCTCGAAGACCTTGCCCGCGCCTTGTCGTGCTCACAGTCTTTCGTTGGCCAATTCTGTAGTCACATTGGAGGCACATGCAGCGACACCCACTAAATAATCTATGGTAACGAGGGACAAGGGTGGTGCACATAATAGAAAAGCGAAGAAAAGATTCTCTTGGGTGCTCGAGCTGCCTATTCAGACACCCTCCCCCCCTTCAGCCTCAGAGAGGGCATTGTTAACTCCCCCAAGATTGCCCTCTTTGCTTGGTGGTCTGAAGCAAAGACATAGGGCAGATTTTCGCTCAGCCGCCGATCTCCGAAGACACGCCAATGACAGGTCTGCCAAGGTGTTTTGCTGGTGCTTTCAGTCTCTCATCATGGTACACTACGATGAAATTCTGTCTTTTGAAGCGTCATCGTTGGCGGCAGCCTAGTGTGACCATGGGGTCTGGGGGACTTCGTCGGCGGGGGACTCGTTGGTTGATGGTTTGCGTCTGCCTCGTATCTTCGGTGGTGTAGCGATCAAGCTATGCCTTGACCCAGCGGGTCATTCGCCACGCCGGATTAGTGCCAAAAGGACAGTCTCGCCACGGCTGGACGGAGGAAGCAACAGAGGCCGGCCCCACGAGACGGCGCCTACTGATTGACAGCGGCGCCAACGGGATGGAATGTTGCCAAAGAGGGTTTTGGAGCCGCGGCTCTATCTCCCGCCTGCGCCAGCCACGCATCGTTAGCGCGTTAACCGGCAGACGACGACGGCGCTGGTCAAAGGGCTCTCCCCGGAGGATTCCACGAACCTGGCGCCTCTCGAAAGAGCGGCGCTTCTTTAATCCATTGTCAAGTAGCCGACCGGCTGACTGCCTATGCCCGCCAGGCATTGTCCCAGGAGTACGAGACGTAGTGTCGCCAAGACGCCGCGACGCCACCAAGAGGACAACAGGGACGGCGTCTTCCTGGGGGAGACCGCGGCGGCTGCCGCGGATCGCCCCGCTAATTGAGCGAACCAAATCGGCGGACCCTCTGAAGTATGCGGCCAGGATCGTGGGCACTCTCGACTAAAGGCTCACACACGACGAGGAAGAGCCCTGCTGGCGCCACCAAAGTGCAGTGTTCACGTGGACCTTGCATGCTCGCCCCCCCTCACCTGTGTGTGCGTGATTGGTGGTCGACTCGGAGAGGAGGAGCCCGACAGGGCATAAAACGACGCGGCAGAGTGCTGGACGTGGCTCTGAACCTTGCTCTGAACTATGTAAAGTTCAACCACCACGCTCGTGGTTTGTGAAACCATTAGTTCTTCTCTTCTCTTCTGTCATCTCGACAACTCTCTGTAAAGATGTAAATAAATCCGTTAAGTTTGCTCAAAGCTCTCCCCTAGTCCTTGGCTCGACGGAGCGACGGCGATCGGCCCCGCTACCCGAGACGGCGGTCGCCACGACACGCGACAACTGGTTGGCAGCGGTGGGATGACATCAGCAGCAACTTCCTTCCCATCCGCAACAACTGGATGGCAAGCGGTTGGATGTGAGCCTGGAGGACGGAGAATGAACAATACGCCGAGATCATGGAGACTGGCAGCTGTGGACTGGTGAGTGCTGGCTTTGGTTTTTTGGTTGCCAGGCTGATAAGATAGAAGTGGAATCTTTTCGCTGGTAGAGGCTACCACAGAAGCAGTTGTTTACGGAACTTCTGGGTAGAGAGTGAGCTGCACCACACTAGTTCTCTGTCATGGATTGGAAGCGTTTGTTGAAGAATCAGCTCCTGATTCTGGGGGAGGAGCTGGGAGCAGAAGTAGATGTGGGGATGAAGAAACACGCAATTGTTGGCGCTATCGAGGGCTTGAATCTGACCAGTGAAGATATTAAAGAAACGTGGAACGAGATTCAAAAGCAACAGAAACAGGAGCGCGAGAAAAGGCGTGAGGAACAGGAGCGTCAGGAAAGGCGTGAGGAACAGGAGCGTCAGGAAAGGCGAGAGCAAGAGAGAGAGCAGTGGAAGGAAACCCTAAAGGTAAAACTGGAAGAGACAAGAAGATCAATACAGTGCCTTAGATGGTCTCAAGTAAATTCGAGGATCCATCCATTCGAAGAGGGCGAGGATATAGAGAGTTACCTAACCTCTTACGAGAATGTTTGCACAGACCTAGGGCTCGACGAAGACTATTGGTCTATCGCCTTATTGAGTGTCTTTCCATGCGACTTAATTGGTAGAATAGGGTACCTTTCCGAGGACGAGTTCAACAGTTACAATGTAGCTAAGGCAGCCTTACTGCAGTGCTTCGGCATCAGAATTGACAGAAAGCAAATTGGGTGCAAGCTCATGAACGCTCCGTTGAAGAACGCGCGGCGGTGTGCTGGTATTAAAACCAAGCCTGAGAGGGGTCCGCGTGTCTCTCATAGCACCAAGGTGAATAGTGAGAGCAAATGGGAGATAGAAAAACGGGAGCGAGGTGAAGAGTTCGAGCGAGCACTCAGCCTAGATATTGAACTGTCGGAACAAAAAGTCGAGGCAACGCGGTGGAAGATTCAGCCATCCGCAAGTGTAGAGCACGAGAAGTGCGAGGTGCAGCCCAGAGCTTTGGAGAAGGCTAGCACGTGTGAACATAGCAGCGGATTCAAAGGCGAATCGAGTTTGAGTGCTGCGAATGAAGCTGCGCTGAGTAGAGAGGCCGACGAAGGCCAGAGCGAGTGCGACGAGGTGCTTTGCCAGTTAAAGGTTAGCGAAACAGCTAGAATAGCTGTAGAGAATCTGGCACAGACCTCAACTGTGTTTGTCGCGGTGGTGGATCTTGCAAAGGAGGTCGAAGTAGGCAAGAACACCGGAGAAGGCTCAGAAGCAGCGAGCGTAGAGAAGGGTATCAGTGCAGTTGCAGACAGCTCTCAGGAATGCGAGCAAGATTTTTCGAAGGGAAACAGCTGCATTGTTCCTAAGTGTGTTAACAAGTCCGCCGGTCTAGAGGGTGAGAATAAAGATGACCAGGTCGAAAATAATTTAGACCGCGCGACTGAGACAGCTGACGAAAGCTGTGAGAGGGTTCACGAGTGTGAGATGCGATCGGGAGGCTCGGAAACGACACGCAAAAAGCGGCGCAGACGAAAGAGACGTCGCAAATCCGCGAGAAAGACGAACAGTACTACGCGTGTAAAAGAAGGCGCAAAACCTGTCAGCGTAGCAAATAAGAGCTTTGCAGCAGCGTCGAAACTGCGTTGCATGCGTCCGAGCAACCGGACGAAAAGTAAGAGGAAAGCGGGTTCGCGAATGGAATTGCGTGGAGAGCGCCAGTCTTTCCGTTCTATCCACAGAACGTTTCAGGGCGCACCTGAGTACAGCGTTAGCACAGGTGAATCGGCCAGACAAGGCGACAGAGCCAAGAAATCAAAGTGCCGAAACACTGTGTCAGGTGGTGCAGAGGCACCCTTGAGCGGTAAAACCATTGATAACTCAACCTGCAACGAATTTACAAGCGGTGCAGGACAGGTTGGTCGCAGACGTCGCCGGAAACGAGAGAGGCGTACGCGAGCGACAAAGCGAAGGGGTGAAAGAGGGGGCAATCAGCCGGGCGAGCGGCCCAAGAGTAGGTTACCAGCCAGTTCAAAGAAAGGTCCTTTGTGGCGTAAAGTAAGGTTCCAACGGCGGAAGGGTAGGCCCCAGCGCGCATCCCCGCGACGGAATGTACGCAGGAGATTTAAAGCTTTGCGGGAACGGGATTGTAGAAGGGGTCCTAGAGGAAAAGGAAAAGCCACAATAGCTAAGCACCACACGCGAGCTAGCCCAAAGAAGGCATGGCCACTCTGTCCCACGCATCGCTCCGGTCCCCTACGCCGAACTGACAGAAGCCCGCCAAAATCGCGAATGAGGCGTAACGCTGCAGTTCAGCTTGTTGCTCGTGCACGTTGTCGTCTGGCGCGTTTTCAGAGTAGAAGACCACGACCGCCGCGTGTACGGCTGAAAGGGGAGCGACAGCTGTAGACGGGAGAGTCGGACACAGGAGTTTTTTTTGGAAACATACTTGTTTGATTATATTGGGTTTTAAAGTGGTGTTCCTGTGTCATCTCCACAGCTAGTTTGCTTGGACACTTTTTTCTTCCCTCTAGATTTTGTTTGCGTGTAAGCTTTGTCAAAATTTCGAGTTGAATTGTTAAGCGTTATGCGGAAGCAGTGACCCGCGTCGGTCAACCGACTGCTTCGAAATTAGTTTTTCTTTGAGAAAACAAAAATCGTAAATGAAGTGTGGTTCGCCCGCTAAATTGGAAAGCGTGGTAACGTTGGTCGAGCGGAGCAGGAGTTTCTATGCTTCGTGCCCTTTAGTGAAGCGCGGCATCGCATGCCGTCTTCAATAGAGTAAATGAGCAATGTTTGGGAAGGTTTTAGAATAAAACTAAACAAAAGCAATTTTCGAAATGCTCATGGGGAGAAACATTCGGTGCAGGAGTTTTAGCGCAAAATTAACGCCTGTTTTGTTACGCACTCCTGACGTGTACCTCAAGTGTGATTGTTCCTTGCGTTTGTTCCTTGAGAAAATTCACGTTCAGATGAGGGTTTAAGGATACCTAGGTGAGAGAGATATCGCCTATGGTTAGGTGCGTGTAGGTATGCTAGCGCTCTTTGGATGAGAGTAAGATGTCGGGCTAGAGCGCACAGCAAAGTCTTGTGCGTTCTTTAAAACCATGGGCTGACATGAAACTACATTCAGCAAATAAGCGTGTTAGTATACGAAATTGCATTACCCTTTGTTATTTTGGTATGTGCTCAGGGATCAGTTGAATTCTTTAGCTGAGCGTCATGTTATACGGAACGTTGAGGGACGTTTTTCCGTAATGATTTTAAGGGGTATTTGGAGTAATCGAAATTTTTAGCTATGGGCAAGAGTATTAGTGTGGTTGCCATTTAAAAGAACAAAAAAAGCGTAGGTGCATTGTGGCACATTTGAAAGACCGGCCTGGTTGCCGAAAACTCATTGCCGGCGCTTGCTGGTTCTAGCAGTTGGTCTTTGTGGTTTAAATGGTGTTGGGAGACTGCGGTTACTGTGATCTCTCCCGTCGAGCAGCTGATACTACCCGACGTCCGAGATCTTCCCGTCGGCGGAGGAGCTGTAGCGATCAAGCTATGCCTTGACCCAGCGGGTCATTCGCCACGCCGGATTAGTGCCAAAAGGACAGTCTCGCCACGGCTGGACGGAGGCAGCAACAGAGGCCGGCCCCACGAGACGGCGCCTACTGATTGACAGCGGCGCCAACGGGATGGAATGTTGCCAAAGAGGGTTTTGGAGCCGCGGCTCTATCTCCCGCCTGCGCCAGCCACGCATCGTTAGCGCGTTAACCGGCAGACGACGACGGCGCTGGTCAAAGGGCTCTCCCCGGAGGATTCCACGAACCTGGCGCCTCTCGAAAGAGCGGCGCTTCTTTAATCCATTGTCAAGTAGCCGACCGGCTGACTGCCTATGCCCGCCAGGCATTGTCCCAGGAGTACGAGACGTAGTGTCGCCAAGACGCCGCGACGCCACCAAGAGGACAACAGGGACGGCGTCTTCCTGGGGGAGACCGCGGCGGCTGCCGCGGATCGCCCCGCTAATTGAGCGAACCAAATCGGCGGACCCTCTGAAGTATGCGGCCAGGATCGTGGGCACTCTCGACTAAAGGCTCACACACGACGAGGAAGAGCCCTGCTGGCGCCACCAAAGTGCAGTGTTCACGTGGACCTTGCATGCTCGCCCCCCCTCACCTGTGTGTGCGTGATTGGTGGTCGACTCGGAGAGGAGGAGCCCGACAGGGCATAAAACGACGCGGCAGAGTGCTGGACGTGGCTCTGAACCTTGCTCTGAACTATGTAAAGTTCAACCACCACGCTCGTGGTTTGTGAAACCATTAGTTCTTCTCTTCTCTTCTGTCATCTCGACAACTCTCTGTAAAGATGTAAATAAATCCGTTAAGTTTGCTCAAAGCTCTCCCCTAGTCCTTGGCTCGACGGAGCGACGGCGATCGGCCCCGCTACCCGAGACGGCGGTCGCCACGACACGCGACAACTGGTGGCAGCGGTGGGATGCCATCATTAGCGTCCTTCCTTCCCATCCCTAACAGTGGGCTTCTGTCAGTGTCGTGTCACTCTAGTGTAAACGCGCCTTTAACAAGACATTGTTATGATGCACTGATGAAAATTTTCAGTTTTCTCCCCGTTTCTTGCATCGCGTGAACAACCAAGTACTCAGAAGTTTAGAAAACGTTAGAAAATGTTACAACATGCTGCTAAAAGCAAAGTTTCTGTTCCACCTGTTTCCTGATGAAACGACAAAGTATGAGTTTCTGGGCATGTGCTCACTCTGAATATCGCGATGTTTCTACAGCTGCTCCACAGCGTGACTTCGTTAGTGACACACAAACACTAAGGCTGGCAAGTGTTTGTCAAGCGGCCATCCGGCCTTGAAAGCAGGTTATCCAGTTATCCAGATTTAAAGAAACGGGAATTCTGCTTATCCAGCTCAAATAAACGTACACCCGGTTATTCCGAAAATATTTGGCGACGAATATTTGGTCTCGCTAAGCACTCATTCGAAATTTAAGTGATATTGGATGTGCACCGAAACAACGTGTGCAGCTCGTAAATTCATTACTGACGTAATCACTTATCCCATGCTGAGACTTCCTGTTTCTCAACTGTGCATGCACTTTCGCACCCTGCGGATACTCATAACTAATGGAATGTTTGTGAATGGCCAATCACTAGCTACATTTCAAGAGGCATTAAGTAGTGACTCATGTAATGTCCCCACATATAAACAAATGAACAACGTGAGAAGGTCAATAAAAGCACATATCGGCTTGTACAAATGGTTGCAATGTTTCCTACAAACACGAGAATTAAAAAAAACTAATATTTATCTTAGCAGTACAAAATGAAAATATGGTTATTCGATTATCTGAATATCATGGTATTGTTAACCGAATAACCAACTGAATATCCGGTGAATCCGGTTATCCGGTTTTCGAAATCGAATAACCGGATAACCGGTTTTGCCGCAAAGCCGGTTTAATGTTGATGCCCTAACAAACACCTATCTTGTACACTCGAACCTGGATATAATGAACCCTGATATAACGAAATACTCGTTATAACGAAGTAAACGGAAAACAGTCTTGCAATATAGTGTTAAGAATATACCTTTATAACGAATTTTCGGTTATAACGAACCTGTTTTCGTGTAAAATGCAACTTCATTATAATGTGGTTTGATTGTATGTCATGGTGCCTGGCGTCATCACAAGTAGCCACACTGGTGCATTAAGCCACCAGAATTGACACTGTAGCCTGACGTCACACTACTGTCAATGCCAGTGGATGCGCCATGAGAAAATTGATCTTAATATCAAAATAAAATACCTTATCAGCATTTACCCAGCTTCACACTTGCTCAGAGCTCTCTCTGTATACAGGAGATTTGTATGTAGGAAGGAACTTGGCTTCGAAAATTGCTTTCAGTACCATTTAATGGTACATACGCACCTGCGGAAAGCATGCCACAGCGGCATCCCGCGCGGTGACGTCTCCGCTCGGCAAGCAGCGGCACACTGTCCACATTGCCGTGAGAGCACCGAGACCAGAATGGGCATGCCAAAGCTCACTGCCAGTTCACGACTTCTCGCCAACAAAGGGAGAGAAGTGATGCAAGTGAGAAGACACCCATGTGAGGAGAAAGAGGTAGAAAAGCAAGCGCTCATTGGTGGTATGCTTGCACTGCAGTCGGCGGCAGTGACAAAAACAGCTTAGGGGTTGATTCAGTCGGTGGCAGAAAATCACTGACACTCCGCAGGAGAAAGAGAGAAAAGAGACCTCGAGCGAGCGGTGAGCAGCATGCAGAAAGGTGTCACGCGACTAGTGTTCGCCTATCTTAACAAGCTGAGCTAAGCCGATTCCTCTTTTTGGGAATGCTGGAGAACACTCCATTCTGAATAAAAGGCCAGCTGCCCCTCGCTTGTTCTGATTTTAGCGCTTGGCACTTGTAGCTGGTGGTGAGAGTGATCTTATTTGCTTATGATTACATTTTATGTGGCTGCATAAGAGCCATAGAGCTTTCCCTTTCTTTGCTAACGTAATTCACTGCCATTCCCCGTCTCATTTTTGAACTGGTGCACTTGTTGTCCATCTGCACATTTACAAGTTTCTTTTGATGTGCCTTACTATAACCTTTGCATACTCATTGTCCTGACATTATGCGGGTGGCCCGAAACTGTTAGGCCAGTTTGACCTGTAAGGAGTAATTGGCTTAAAAACAAAATGGTGACCCGAATGTGAACATAGCTGTGCAATGAGATTTTTTGTTATGTACTACACGTCCATGCGAGGGTAAAGTCATCATTGTGAGCCTACCTTATGTACAGGAGGACGGAGGACTCTTCCAATTATCCCAACCTTGCCCTTGACAAGGAGATTCGATTTTACGCCCGAAAATTTCTTAATTTTGTCGCTCCACTTACTCCTTTGTCGTTCATGGCTGCCGTGGTGAAAGTTAATTTTAGAGTGAACGAACTATTCCTCCTCCAAATTATATTTCTTACACACAATGCTCCGCAAGTGAATTTATATAATTTAATGTTCATTGCTTCTTAATATGTCTGCAGCACACAAACTTTCTGCCGAGAGCCCAGCCCTGGAGCTGCCACAACCTGTTGCAAGTACCGGCTCAGTCGTAGTCATAAACGAAAATGACGTTCCCGTGATTGAAGACGAGGTGAGAGTCACATCTGCAGCCATGACTGACTGGCTATGATGCTTCACTGCACAATTGAGGGGAAGCCCACTTCGCCTGCCTAGATTTGCTTAGATGTGCATCAAAAACCACTCGTAATGGTAATCAAAGTTGCATTTCATTGTTGTGTCCACGGTCTGCAGGAAACAACAAAAATCGACAGCAGGCCTTGAAAGCAGAGATCTCTGCTTACTATATCTTTCCTGAATTGCCCATATTGTGCCTTCAACTTCCCTAACCTTGTCAGCATTCATTGCTAGACTAATAGGATGAGTGCCTTTTCCTTCACTGTGGCACTAATCTAGCTGTTTAATGTTGGCACTTTACTGTAACCTTGGTACTTTGCTTTGTTTAAAACTTTACTGTCGGTAAGTTTTCCCAACACTTCACCTTCTCTTTTGTTCCTTCAGAAATGTGAAGAGAAATCCAACGACAATGTAAGTAAAAATTGTAGCTAAAGATTTGTATCACTATACTGAAATGGAAACTTCCACAACATCCTCAACTTGCTGAAATAGTGATGCTGGTAAAAGGTTACAAAAGTTGCATTGCATAGAATATAAGCACAGAATTGTAATTAATGATAAGTTTTATGTTACACAGTACACAGTAGTTCACTGATCACTTCTCTAAAAACGTTACCGCACCATTAACATGTACAGTCTGAAACACACTTGTCAATGGCAGCCAGTTGGCAACTTTAGCCACTGCTTTTGCGAAAATATGGACAGACTGGCACCATAATGATATCAAACATATTAGGCAGTATAGCATACTAGGCGAGCATGAACAGAAGCTGTCACGTAATGTAAGGTAGCATCTGCGGACGGCTTCAGTGTCCACAGATACGTGCTCGACTACTCTAGAGAGCTGTAATTCAGACTGGACTGTACTGTTGCTTAAATTAGTTGCAGCCACACATTACAGAAAACCTTTCCACTGCTGCTCTTGAAGTTTTTGCTAAACAGCTTATAGCAGTTGGATATGGTTTCTTTGCAAGTTGTTTACCTTAAAAGAGTTGGGCGACTTGGTGTTTTGACATAGAAACCATCATGAGTAATGCAACTAAACAGGACGCATAGAAAAGAACAGACGAGCAGTGCACCTGTGCTCATCTGTTCTTTCCTATGTGTCCTGTTGCGCTACTCTCGATGGTTTCTATGCCATCCACCTTTGCTTCGTAATCACTCCGCTAGTCCACCAATGCGGGCTCCCAGTTGCAAAGCTTTCATCACTTACGTCTCTGTGATTTGGCTTGTCGTCGTGCTCATCGTTGTTGGATGTCGATTGACTTAAAACTGCCTTCACTCTAGCTCTCGTGGCAATGTGATCGCTCGAGAAAATCAGCTTTTAATATGACCTAGCTCTGCCTCTGTGGCCGATGGCACTCGGATCGTTATGGAACCCTTTCATTGCCAGAATCTTATTGCTATGTTCCATTATGTAATGCTGCCTGATCACAGCTTCTGCAGATTCTTTATGCCTTGCTTTTTTATCTTTCTTGCTTACAATAATTACACTTTTTTATGTTTTGTTGCAGGTCTTTGAAGCTATGCTGCCAGAAAAGGGTGATCCTGGTGATGTCAATGGAGATGACCTTGAAGTAAGGCAGTTTACGCAACTATCAGGAGAGTATCTGCTATCACAGTTGTTCAGCGACGTAAAAGAGGGATGTAACTGATTTTACGTTTCCACATTCACACCTGACGACACCACACAACCTCAAAGATTACCTTTAATATAATGGAGCATTAGGGAGATATCCCAACGATGAACATAACTCTGTTGTAAGTGGTTATTGATGTGTAAATCAGAAACCCTAGGCGCAACTTGATGTCACCAGAATGCAGGAGCTGTCAAAACAGTGCGGTGGTCGTTTAGGGAGCACTCGTAGTATAATGACATTTGATGAATCGGTTGGGTAACGCAGATTTCAGATTTTAAGGCGAGGCTTGCATTTACTGCACTGTTGTATGGTGCTCAGCAATTCGGATGTAATAGCCGGCCCACATCGCAGCCCCACAGCAACACTGATTGTGCAATGATACCCCTCTGGAGTTCCTTAAGAATAGTATGGGTTCTTTGCAATACCCTCAGGTTTCTGCTCATAGGCCATGTCGCGCAGTGAACAATTATAAGCATTCATCTGGCATTTTTATTCGAAGCCTTAGCATAGCTTGGCTTAGTAGTTGCCATTGCCTGAGCGAGGATAGTTTGTACTGCGAAAGAAGCAGCTGTTTCATGAAGCAAGGCTTGCTGCTTAGTGGGAGATGCAGCGATAATGCTAAGCCAACCGACCAATGCAGCCATGATGGTCGAAAACGAGTTATTGTAGGCGCCCATCAGCTTTGCTGTCTCTTTAGCATTGAGACTTCAGTGCAAGCTATGCTAATTTTTTTTCTTCTCCTCATTTCTGTATGTCTATACAATTTCTTTTTGTTTTCACATTATTTCACGTTTTACCATTTCATTACATTATCCCCCTTACACAATGCCTTTAGGGGCTTGTTAGGTACTTTTAAGGGAATTAATTAATTGACTTCTGCTTGCAGTTACCTACACAGAAGGAGCAGAAGGAGGCTTCTGCTGTTGTGTTCAAGGAGCTGAAGAGCGTGCTTGTCCTCAAGGCCAGAGAACACCGTGAGCGAGAGAAAAACGCGCTAGCTCGTTGTGGAGTGGAGGGAGGACACTTTGACAAGCTAGGGTTCGTCGTGCCTGAGGTCGACGTTCCCGCCGACAACGACGGTCACGTAGGTGACTGCTCCCCCTCGTTCGAAGGAGGCGTGGCAGCGAGAAGTACAACACCTCTGCACAATACCGCCATGGGCGACGAACGCTCCGAGACAATGGAGCTTCGGCTCGGCAATGCCGAAGAGTCGGCGAAGTGCGAAGGTTCGGAAGTTGCCGCCGAGATCGCCGCCAGGTTCACGCTTCCGCTTTATGAAGGGAAGTGCATGCCCAATCCGCGCAACATAGCCCTCATGGCGGCACTAAGGTCACAGCAGGTTATGCGTATGGAAGTCAGTACGTTTGAGGACGGCACGAGTGACAGTTCTTCTTCGGACGAAGGTGAAGAAGGTGACAAGTGATTTTACATTCATTCATGTGAAATTTGCTTTTTCTGTGCAACTTATGAACTCTGCTTGTACGTTCATAAATTACTGAGGAAGTGATCAGGTTTTGTTGGTCATTGACTTTTTGATCTTGTAAAATTACTGTATTTTCTTGTGTATGGGCTGCCTCTGCATACAACTTGCACCTCCAGCTACAAACTGGATAAAAAAAGTTAAAAGAAAATGCGTATTGCCATAAGGCTCCCTTTTTTGCATGACAGTTGAGGAGTGCTGTGGAGCCAACTTGCACTCCATAATTCGTGTGTAAATCACACACACACACACACTTTGGCTCCAAATGTCCTGTATATTTCGTGCTGGTTATGCAAGAGAAAATATGGTATTTTATGGGCACTGCATATAGAATGGTGTTTAGCTTTAGGAAGAAACTGTGTTGTGTAATGCTGTGTGCATGTAGTGTGCATAAATAAAGAAATCACATCGTTGAAGTAATGTTGCCTGCAGATGAGATTTTGCTTTAACGGCTTAGCTATGCTGCTAAAATGCAAATACTATATGTGCGCAAATGTACAAGCATAGGCATGTGTGTGTACAAAAAATCACTAGCGCGACCTTGAGCTTTATATTTATAGCACACGAGTTCTTGATGACCATCACATTCTGCGGATGCTCCTCCGCACCCTCATGTCTCATAGTGCCTTCATATTGCTAAATATGCACTGTTAATTTAAGTATTTTACCTGCTGACTCCATACTTACGTAGCACTTGTTACGCTTGTTCTCGCTTCCTATGGAAGAACATTGTAGTTAAAATGCATGTGTCTTCATGCTTTCCCCAGTTGTGCCTTGAAGGCTAAAAAAAAAAATCTCTGTGCTAAAATAAAAATTTTACTTGTGCACGTCTAAACAATTACAGCATTTCCGTCTATTGTGCTTGAACTTGGAGACTTGGACTTGGAGATAACTGCTTTCGCACTCTGTGCTTAGCATTACTTTTGCAAATTAGTACTCACCTACCGCAAGTCTCTGTGCCAGGTTGACGCAAGGGCAATGCATGGAAGAGTTTACACCTACAAACCGGAAACACTTTTCACTGGATTGTATTTTTACCATCACTTGGCTGTGCAGGCTGCTAGCAGTTTTTGCAGTCTGCCATTACAGTGAATATAGATAAAGTGTAATGTGTTACCAAATACTATACGAAGTATCCAAGAGCCATGAGAATGCATCCTTACATTTTGACACAAATGTGCAGGCATTTGGGAAGTTGTGCAGATGGTGGCATTGAACAACATTTAGGCATGTTTTCGAACTTTCTCTAGTTGCATGGAAGTGTTCATTATGCGCATTCGTATTTCGATGTTGTATGCAGACTTATTTCAGTTAAGTGATAAACTGAATAACAGCTGTCGGCATGGGCGTCGGCAGGGGGGGGGGGGCGCAAAAGGGGCACTTGTCCCCCTGAAGCCTTGCCCTCACCTAAGCTACACCAGTGCTCTACCCCTCCCCGCGCTGCAATGCAACACTGGTTTGCACCTCTCCAAGAGAAACTCCTCCCTACGACCATGGCTGCCAGTTTCTTTGAAGATAAGGTACATTAAAAAGAATAAGAGAAAGCAGTGCTTCCGCTATCCACAACTTCCGAGTCCTAGTTATGATGAGCATATCATAGCTGAACTTCTGGCAGCTCATTTTGGCAGCCCCTAGTGCACCCCAATTCATATGTCTTGAGCCATGTTTTAGGGGTGAAGCTCCTCTTCGTCTAACCTTGTCATGTGTCACGCGTAACCTAGAGAAGAAGAGATGAGAAAGAAAAGAAGGCAGCATCTCCCGAACAGTACAATAGACAACGTTGTCTCATAGAAGTACATACGAACGGCAGTTGAGTGGGATATTCTAGATGGCGCTGTATTGCTACTCTCCGATTTGTTGCTGCTCTAGGCACAGCTGTGCCTGGGTACGATTAGAACACGTGCCTCTCTCAGTCTCCTGGATAGTCGCGGTACATGGCAGATCGTTGGAGGGGCATGGACAAAGCAGAGCAATGGGCGAGTTGAAGACACTTGCGCTAGGCTTCTTTGGCTCACGTCTCGTCATTACCCATGCGCCTTCTGCATTCTCGAATGCGGTCGGATGCACGGAGAGACGGACACGCGAACGGATGGACGGAGGGACGCTTCGCCCCACTCATCATCATTCACTTCGTGGATATGCTGTGATTTTTTTTTTTTTATGTCCACAAATCCTGCTAAAACAACCTGCAGTATGTATTTGTGAGCACTCTTGGGTGCATCATACTGTTAGTCAGGAGCATCGTTGGGTGCATCGTAATGTCTGGTTGCGTGACCATCAGGTTGCTTTGACACGAGCCTGATATTTTCTAAATTGTTCAAGACGTCGAAGTGACTTGAACTGAGGCACTCTATAATAACACTCCACACAACAGTAAGAAGTGATTTGATTTATTACTTTGTATAAAACCATATAATCTATGGTTCAATTGTGACACGCTTGCACGCCTCTTTGTCCAGTCCAGTTGCCGCCCTTGCAGAAAATGCACAAGAAAACAGATCTGTAGAAATAAAAATAATTAAATGATGGAGAGTCCGTGTTCCCCACAACGTTGGTTTCATCATGTACACTATACAAAACACAAAAAAATGCACTTGCTTTGGCAATGATGTCGTAGTGTCGCTGGTAGGCAGTCGCTCCTCCTGCGCACCATACTAAAAACTGGGTATACATACAAGCTCCCTGATCTCAGATGTGTCGACACGCCACTTACAGTTAGTAAGACACAGAAAGCTGATGATTCACTCCATAATGAACATTGTCCTTTTAGACATTTCATTCTTGAAGAACAAAATAATGTTTTTTAAGAAGGAGAGGGGGAGGGGAGCAAAGTAGGAAAATTGCTCTAGAACCAGGCTTCGCAGACAAAGGGTAGTGTATGGGTGACTCGCAATAATTGGAACATGAGTACTTTAATGTTTTGGTTGATTTGAGTACTTTTCAAGCATCTGGCTTCTGATGTGCTATGCTATAGCTTGCTCTAAGACAAGAAATTTGGCTAATAGATCTTCAGGTAAACATTCACTTAAGCTTGATATTCAAGCTTTTGTGCAGGTCATAACATTCTGTGAATCCAGATGCCAATAACTCAGCAGTGTGTGCAGCTGCGATGTTATGCATATGGAGAAAACCCAGCAATTGAGAATTACCTACTTGTGCCATAAGTATCATGGTCCGTGTATGTTAGTACGTGTGCACAATTTTGTCGTTAGCCAAGCAAGTCTGAATTCCTTGGGAGTTTCAATTATTGCGAGGCAAACTTTACTTGAATGAGTATACTAATCAATAACTCTGTCTCCGAATATATATCCCGACACGTCGTTTGGTGTCTCCCGTATCTACATAATTGCATTCTATTCAAGTAATCCATTAATCTGAGTGCTATGAAAATGCAAACATTAATTCATTGGGAGACAATGAACACTAAAAGGTAATGTCTCAAGTCAGGTACTCATTTAATGTTGCAACAGACGTAGTACTCACATAAAGCAACCTTACACGACGCGTCAAATTGTGAAATGGTTTTCTTATTCTTTCATCTTTCAGGCAGAGGCAATGAAACTCCATTTAATGAGACCTGTGCAACAGGTATAGTTCCCTGTAGCAACTGAGCTTGTAACAATGCTCTTGGAGCGGTGGTTACCAAGAACAGTCGCTGGCATTTTTTTTTGGCACCACAGGTTTCTTCTCTTAATCCAGTTTTCAATCATCAATGTTTGTGATGTTCCATTACGAAGAACATGACTGTTTGGTGTCATGCTTCGAGGCCTTCTTGCTACCACTTTCACCTTTTACGCAGATGTTGTGTGCTATAAGCACATCATCCAGTACGTAGGGTGTGGTCATCTTATGTGTATCCTCAAAACCCTGGTACAGCACCTTCCTTATCAAAGGAAGGTGAGCCAAGGTTTTACTGCCAAAGTTTAACCTTGGCAACTGTCAAATGTTGAGGCAGAAAACTTCTATGCAATGCCTCGGTAGCTGTGTTTTTTTGCTTTTGTTGCTGTGTTAGTGATCAGGATGTAAAATGGATGTAAAAATGCTTTTTCAACTATTCCGTTTCGCATTTTATCAATGGTCTGAGCCACAGTCCATTCTCTTTATCGCCAAAATTGGCCGACTATGAATGGTCGATGATGAGAAAACAAGAACCGTATAGAACAAAAAGAGATTATATATTATACCTACCGGGTTCCTAGCACTTTCGAATAAGTGTGACACTTTGAACTATTGCTTAGTGTATGACCTGTGACTGCAAACTTCCCGACTTTCCTTTATCTAGCCTTGTCCCTTAGAGGAGCAGCCTATGAACATTCTCAGAAGATGCGCTTTTCTCAGTAGTGCCATACCTAGCTTCTCATAGGCTCTATATAGAATGAGAAAGCTATTATTGTCTAGCTCTCAAACATTGTAGGCTGGCAATGGGACGCATAAGGCATGTGGTTAGACAATTCACTGAAACACCTAGCAATGTCTAAGAAAGCGGGAAGTGAATGCGATTTGTTCAGCGACACTCGGAAAGTATTACATAAGGCAGTGTGGGCGTATCTACGACGCAGCTCATGATGGGCACTTAAGCTGCATCTCGTCACCTCAATGTGTTGGTCACGTTTGTCTATACCTATCATAAATGCCAAGGTTTGTGTAAAGCTGTACTTTCTCAAAGCAGTGTAATGTTACAGCTGTTCACGTTTTAACTGGGCTCTCCTATGCCTCAAATGAAAGCTGTTAAGCCTTGCTACCCATAACATTTGCCATCGCAAATGTGGTCCCTCGTGGCAAGTGCAGCAGATGATGTGCCTATAATACTTGACTATTGTGTGCAACCATGCTACACATTTAAGTCTTGTTTCCTTTTGAATCGACCTACAATTGTTCTCTAGTGCCCTGTTCGAACAGATTTACCAAAGTGAACTTTCACCTTCAGCGTAAAACCATAAATGAAAAAAGAATAGTCTCGCCCACGGCCTTGACTTAAACTCTAATATGCTGCAGGAGGGTAATGCAAGGCCTATTTCAATTATTGTTAATCTTAAATTTTTCCAGTAGGTCTCGGACAGCTAGCTTCAACTTTAACCTTGTAGCATCCGTATAGTTCAAAGGTGAAAGACTATATGCATGCATCTCTACATGTCTTTTGTCCTTGTGCAGCACATATTATTGGCCTGTGTGCTTTTCCCATGGAAAAACTGGGACTTGGTGATCACATGCGCAGCTCACCACAACAGGCAACACTCTTACGTTCTGTGGGGATATTTTACAAATGCTAAATCTGTGTCGTCTGTTGCTTTGTAATAAGAAGTTATGTTCTTCACCTCAGAAGTAAGCGTGAAAACATTTAGCGGCACTCTTAAACTCTTTGTCTGTACAGGTGTGCATATTTCGCGCTCAATGCAGCACTTTGTTCAGAGGTGTGATTACTTACAATGACCTAACACACACACACACGCACGCAGGAGCAGTAAAACTCGGCAGGAATCTTCAGTACAAGTACCCTGCACGTGTAGACATGTGGGACACAAGCAATTCACATAATCTTCATCTGCAAAACACATGACACGAGAACGTAACCAAAGGCTGACACATGACGTAGGCTGAATACCCGCACTTTGCTCTTGAATTTCATGGTGTGTTGTTCGCGTCTTTAATGCTGCAATGAAGACAAATGCTCACACGAGGCTACCACAGGACCAACACAAAGCCAATACATTCGGTGTTGAAGTAGCACTTTACAATGAAAAAATGAGCAAGTTCTTTATTTATTCCATTATGAATAAACCCACCAAGTCATCAGGAGGCCATAACTGATTCTCGGCGATAGCTAACTAAAAGTAGAGGTTGCACTGGTGACCACTGCAGCCCTATTTGAAGGACATGCTAGAAAATAATTAAAAGCTGAGGACAATGCAGTGGTAAAGCAATGAGAACTAAAAAGCCCTGAATGCCATTTTAAGATGTCCAATTATTGCAAAGAAAATGTTTCTGTGTGTAAAGCAGTACCATGCTCTATCCTTGCGTATCTCCATAGCATCAACAGAAAATTGCTTAATAAGCTTGGCTTTGCACTGGCTGTGATAGACTCGTACCACTGAATGAACGAAAGCAAGAAATACAGACACATACATGACACTCGGACCCATGCATGCACACACACACACATACACACACTCGTGCCTCATGAAATAATGCAATTCTTGTCGGCAGCATTTTTCTTCTCAGCTGAGCGAGTCCTGGTGCGCTGCTTGGCCACCGCGAGGGCATCACTGCTTACATACGATATGCGCACGCCACCGTAGGCTCTCCTCTGGGGCAGTTCATAGGGGAAGTCATCCGAACTCGAGCTGGAGCATGTGCTACAGACGTCGTCATATTCCAGTGGCAGCTCAGCGGGAGCCCTCCGGCTACACTGCGGTCGATCCCTCCGGGACGACACCGCTCCCTCTGACGCACTGCGCGCCCTGGCTGCTGCTGCATCCTTGCTTCGCCTCGACCTTTGCGACTTGGGCTGCGAGTGAACCGTGATTCTCGACGACGTCGATGCCGCGTCTTGCTCATCCTCGTACCCACCCTCGCTGGAGCTCGAGTCGTCGCGCCGGTGTCGCCGGGATCGCCTCGACGAACGCGAGCTTCCACGGCGGCCACTGCTACAAGCGGCGTCGGTGTCGCTCTCTGCCTGACCTAGGCTAGGGTCAAAGTGTACTGACAGCATCTTTGGCGTCGTCGGATGTGACGAAGGTGCGCTGCCTGCAGTTGCGCCCGGAGATTCTGGAGAGTAGTACGTGCTGCCATCATCTTCGTCCCGCGCACCATAGGAGGAAGACTGCTGCTGTTGCTCGATGTGATGCTGACTGCTACTGTACGCTGCGTGGCCTACGGAAAGGTCCGGCATAGAGAAGTGGGAACCCGAAAGGCGGTGGTGGTGGTGGCTGCTGGTTTTGCTGAACGGTCCGTTTTGGATCTCCTCGACCACTTCCACGAAGACCTCGGAACTGGCCAGCAGGGCCCCGAGCCTGAGGTCGGACACGTTGAGTGGTTCGCGTCGACGACCGCAAGTAGGCGTGAGCAGAGCGTCACCGGGAGAAGACGATGTGGCGGCTGCAGTGCCCTGAGGGCGACACGCAACTTGCCGCTCAGGCAGGGCCTGCTGCGGCTGGCACCGCGGGCTTTCACCTTGACCGAGAATGCCACGAACCATCTGCGTCGGGGATGGCATCGGCGACATGGGTGTGATTCCAGGCGGGAACCGTGCACACTGGCTCGCGGAAATACCTGCCCCGTGGGAACCTGCGAGTGATGGACTTGTCCCCTGAAATCGCTGCCTCATCCTAGGGCTGTCTGGAGATTGTGACATGGAATGAGAGAGCACAGTCTTCTGGCGTGCGCCGTAGATAGATGACGAAGCGGAAACACTTCCTCGCGACGAGGACGCTGTGGAGAGGTTTCTGCCAACATTGGGTGATAGCAGTGGCTTGGGAGGCGTCGCCGGCACTCCAAGACTGTATGGCGGGCCCGGTGAGCGGTGGCCTGATGTCTGAAGTGCGGGGGACGCCACCGGAGACAAGAGCCTCCTGACGTTCCCGGGAGAGTTTGGCGAAGGGAAGCCGGGGTTTCGTGCCGCCGTAAGGGACGGCGACGCCGGGAAGTGTTTCATGCGTCCTAGAGGCGACTCGGACACCAAGCTTGCCGACTTCTTCAGTATGCCCGCCGATGGTGGGATGGTAGGCAAACCGCTGATACCTTTCAGGCTTTCTGCTGGTGAACACGGTCGTGGCTTGGGCGGTGTTTGCGGCTGGGAACTGTGGTGAGAGCCCTGAGATTCGGGCGTGCCGGAACGGGTCGCGGAATGCGGCGAGTCGGAGCGAACTGTTGCCGTGGTGTCCGAGTGTCCTTGAGAGGAGGCCGAGTCGGAGTACCTCTGGAAGCTCGTCGGGTCGGTGACGTAGGAGAGGTCCCCTTCGTCTTCGCGAGGCGGACCCGAGGTCGGGAGAGGAGGCGGCGGCGGACACTCCTCCACCAGATCGTCGAGCTCAAGTGGTGGCGGCTGCTTCCTCAGGAGCAGTGGGCTCTGCCGGATCGTGCTATGTCGGCTCGGAGAATTCGAAGCAGTCGTGGTCGGGGCGCTCGTTTGTACTAGGTCCTTGCTCGAGGACGGTGAGCACGGCGAGTTGTTGGCCCTCTGAGAAGACGACTTGGAATCGCCTGGAGAGAAGACAAAGAAGTTGAGTGTTACGTTGCGAAGGAACACGGCCTGCGAAAGGTATGCGCACTCGCTTAATGTGAAATAGCAGTAATGCCGTAAATAATAATTGTTGATGTTTAACGTCTCAGAAGTACAATGTGAATATCAGAAATGCCATAGTGAAGGAATTGAGCCATTTAGACCACCTGGGGTTTGTTAACGTGCAACTACAGGGGCTTCAAGCGTTTTCGCCTCCATCAAAAATGCAGCCGTCGCAGTTGGGATTCGATCCCGCGCTCTGCGGAGAGCAGTCGAGCACCATAACCACTAGACAACTGTGGCGGGTTAATGGCGTATAGTGATAGCCAATAATAAATGAGTCATTGCTGGATAAAGGTTTGGTCAGTTATGTGCAATGTTCGTTCCGGGAGTAGACTACATGTCCTGCACAAACTGCTGCAAGTTATTTTACCCAGGAATGTTAGCAGCCCGAGGAAGGCTTCACCTTCATCTCTTACACCTTTGTCGTAATGGGGGTGGGGGGAAAAGAGGAGGTTATGGGCTTGTACCTCTGTAAGCAGCGCTTATGCTGTACGACGTCTGCGATATAAGTAAGTAAGGTACACGGTTAGAGAATAGGTGGCAGAAGAGTATACAAAAAGTAAAAAATAAACAGTGAGAAAAATACGGCCATTCAGCTGTAAGGGAAAGAGAGCAGGGCTGAGAAGTCACGTTTTTCTTATGGTAAAGCCAATTAATCGAAGTAGAGAAGGTATTAAGCCAATATTTATTTTTTGTCTTTGTTGTTGCTGTTGCTGCCAAGCCTGGAGGCACATACATCGCGGGCCTGTTATAAAGGGGACGCTCATAGCGTCTATGCGAAATTCGGTGAAACGCACCCTTGCTGCACTGGAGGGAGCAGTAGATGAGCCCTTTGCGGGGCAAGAACGGCCGGCCCAGGAGCGACTGGCGGCAGGTGGCGCAGCGGAAGCAGGCCTCGGTGGCGTGCCAGTGCTGTCCCTCGTGTGACATCTGGCCCTGGTCGACACCCACGGGCTCGCCGCACGTGTCGCAGAACTCAGCGAACATGGCGTCGAAGCAGCGCAGACAGTAAGGTCTACCGTCGCGCATGATGTAACGCTGGCCGCCCAGCTGACGGTCACACTCGAAGCAGCAGAAGTGGCGCATGTGCCACGCCTGGCCTTCCGCCTCCGTGCACTCGTCCGCAAAAATTATCTGCATCCCATGGAAGAGAGGGTCATCATTTGCACCTCTGGAATCCTTCAAGCTAACGGCACATAGTGTCACAAACAACAGTACGACAGCAGTAAAGAATATATACTTGGCTATAGTATTCAGGCAAATAGCATGAAATCGCAGGTTGCTGAACCGCGCATATATTTGGAGCGCCTCATGTTCTTTGTTTCGTTAGGATAAGCGGGTGTTTTCTGGAATGAAGGTTAGAGATACCACCATGACAAAGTTGCAGAATTTACAAAAAAGGCACAATGTGAGGGAAGTGGTGTATGTGGCAAATATCTCGGCGGGCTCTCCAGAAGCACCTACCTGCACTGAACTTCCAAAATAACCACCGGTCAAAGCAGGCGTAGCCGCAACAACAGTCTGTATGTGGCAAAGCCAACCCTTTGAAGTAACGGGTGCGATAAATACGTTAAATATGCAGCAAAAAAAAAGCCAACCCTTTGAAGTAACGGGTGCGATAAATACGATAAATATGCAGCAAAAAAAAACATTGAAAAATCTGCAGGTACAAAAATTTCGAAAATCAAGTTTTGCCAAGACGTTGCGTAATATGTTCAAAATACATCAGCATCTAATGAATGCCATCCTATCTACCAACGTTCCAATGTTTCAATGTCGTGCTTGTAGGAAGCATCGTTCTCGACTTCCAAGATAAGTCTAGGGAACGACTCTAGGCCAATAGTGTTAGTATAGATAACCAACCCTTTATTTTTGCCATTTAAATGTAGTTCCTCGTGCCTAGTGCAGGAGATGATGTTCCTGTAATACTTAACTACTTGTGTGCAACCATGCTGCATTTTAGGTGTTGTTTTCTTATGAACTGACCTACATTTGCACTCTAGTGTCCGATTCGAACACATGTGCAAAGTGAACTTTTTATCTTCAGCGCCACATCATCAATAAAAATATTGCCCCCACCTCCCCGAAGAGAATCGTGAGGAAATGCGGATGCATTTCTTGCGCCGAGAGTACACGGCGCAGTAATTTTAATGGCGTAAAGTAATGACGAGATGAGTATTTGTACCGTAACCATTTATTTACACATTCATCAGCCAGAAAACGGTCGAGAGTGAGGCGCGCCCTTCACTCTATATATATATATATATATACTGTTCTGCCGCGGCCTTACCAGCTCGACCGGAATTCGTCGTCCTGTGTGAAGCGACATTCTAAGGCAGCTTCAACTACAGTGGTGGTGTGGAAAGTCTGCTAGGCTCGCGGACCTAAAACCCTTTAGACACACCTGACTACCTGAAGGGACTATTACAGCCTGATCTGCCGCCTCTCTGCGTTGTACACCGGAGAATGGGCCTCGCATCTGGACTTGTCCTGCGAGAACGCTTTCCACATTCCTGGGCCAGCGACGTGCCTTGATGCATTGTGTCAGAGCCTGGGAGGAGCTAGCAGCGTCGGATGAGTCAACCTGTAATCTTGCTTACCGGAGGAGTCTACGCGAGGAGTTCCAGGTCATTGAACTGAGCCAGTGGTGCCGTATTGCTCCTCCCTGTGCAACCAGGTGTGCGAGCCCTCGCACTTTCCTAGAAGGAGGTCTGACTGCCTGCTCGGGGGCGGAGTTAAAGAGGACAATCCTATTGGAGGGACCTGAACTCAATTGTCTTCCCTCGCAAGGAATCTTGGGAAGACGGAGTGTATAAAACGCGAGCACAGAGACGCTCAGGGGTGCTTCATCTGTTTCATGATGTTCCACGTTACTCTAAACATGTAAATACTGTACATAAATGCTTCTTTTCACCTACTCCGGCTCCTCGACTCGTCTTCTCCCGAGACTCGAATGGCTTCAGCCAGGACCATGCTGCTACCCAAAGTCGCTGTAGTCACGGACATGGCGGCATGTCCCGACACTTCATTCCTAACAATACATACCAGCAAGCGCAAGGGAGAATAGGGTGCAGGGAGGAGAGAGAGCGAACGGCGAGAGGAGCGGCGAAGCACTGTACCTACACACTCTCCATTTTCTCCATGCTATGCGAGCACCCTCACATGCTAGAGCGCGGTCCTCCTTTCCACTCACTCTCCGCTACTCTGCCCACACCACCTGCTCCGGTTGCTAGGGGCGACGATAAGCGCACGCGCCAGCAGCTTTTGCTATGGGAGAGGGAGTGAGAGCGAAGAGATAACACCTGCCGGCGCACAGACACCGACAGACGCCTGACATGTCCCGACTAAGAAATGCATTCGCATAAAAAATAGTCTTATTCTCGACCTTGACGAAAGCTTTAATATGCTGGAGATGGGCATATCTAGGCCTATTTTAATTATTTTTCATATTATTTTTTTTTCAGTAGGACTCAGACAGCAAGCTTTAACTTTAACGTCGTGGCGTCCATTGAGTTCAAAGGTGAAATACCATTTGCATTTCTACATGTTTGTTGTCCTTGTTCAGCACATAGTATTGACATGTGGCTTTTCCCACAGGAAAACTGGCATTTGATGACCGCATGCGCAGCTCCCCACAACACGCTACACTGTTACGCTCCATGGGGATATTTTACTAATGCATAAATCTGTGTTGTCCGTTGCTTTGTAGTTAAAAGTAACATTGTTATGGACGCCTTGTGCGGAGGCGGCAGGTGCGTGCAAGCACATAGAATTACCTCATCGCAGGCGGTGCAGCGCGGCTTCAGACTCTCGGCGTGGTGTCGGCCGCAGTAGAGCTTTCCCTCCCGGTAGAAGTAGATGAGGTCGACGAGCAGCTCACCGCAGGTGTGGCACGTGAAGCAGCCCGGGTGCCAGCCGCAGTCGGGGCCCGCGCGGGACGCCAGCACGCACATGTCACCCGCCGACAAGGGCTCCTCGCACTGTACGCAATTAAAGAGACGGAAAACATGAGCGACATTTGTCTGCGAATATCTTGCAGCGAAAGCCTTAGATGGGGGCGCCTTACCAAACGCGCTAACTTACAGCAGGTTTCCTCGCACTGCACACAATTAAAGAGACGGAGGACATGAGTGACATTTGTCTGCGAATATCTTAAAGCGAAAGCCTTAGATGGGGGTGCCTTACCAAACGCGATAACTTACAGCAGGTTTCCTGCGTCAACAGCAGTGATGCCAGAAGTCATCATCACGCGATGACATCACCACATGAGGTCACGATGACGTCACAAATGGCAAACATATGTGACATCACGACTTCACATTCTGACGTCATCACATGCCATCGCCACTTCGTGAAAGGAAGGCCTATATCACGGAAACTGTGCAAAATCAGGTCAGGTGCGGAAAGCTCGCGATCTTGGAGGCAGTGCAAGACCACGTTAAAAGGAGGAGAGGTTGAGAAAAAAAAAAAAAGCCGCTATTTCTGCAGCACTAGTTGGGGGCACGGCTCAGCACCTCCACGCTAAGCGCACAAAAGTTTCGGAAGGAAGGAGGGAGAGGGGGAGGATCAACACATCAAATGAGAAAAAAAAACACAGAAGATGGATTTTGCCTTCGAGGCATCCCAGGCGAATTAATAAGGTTGTCAGTAAGGTGGTTGGTTTACAAGTCAATTGCTGATGAAATAGGTTGTATGAATGCTCTTGCAAATCGTATTTGTGTCCGTCTCGCACAGATCGAGCTGGCGTTCGGCTTGCGATAAGCAAGTGTTTGCACTGATTCGTGATTCGCAGGTCTCAAGCCCTCTCTGCGTGACCTCTCGCACTTGCACTGACTCGTGAAGCGTATGTCTTGTCTGAAACATTTATCTCTGCCATGTCAAATGTGTACCTCTACGATGTGGGCGCAACTTGCGCTGTACTTGTAACAATAACCTACTCTCTGTTTTGTAATGGCCTGTGTTATCTCCTGTGAAGCAAGCCTCTAGCACGTCTTATGCCTGACACACGCAGAATAATAAAAAAGAAAAGAGAACAAGTTAATGTTTCCCTGGTAGAGCTCGATCACTTGAATTGAAGACCTTTTATCGGATAAATATAAGGAATAATGAAGGATTAATGCCATTGATGAGTTTTGCATAGTGACAGCGGAACATGCACGAACAACGTGAAGGCGGAAACACTTTATTGCTTACTAACTCAACTTTAATGCTTTCCGCAATGACCGGCGGCCACTTGTCACTAAGATAGATTCCATACAAACAAGGTGACGTGGTTAAAAGCCTTCAATTAAGTGTTAAAAAGTTACGCGCGTTATCATAGAAGGTAACTCGTCCTTCAATAGTGGGCAAATATATGATAAACGTAACTAGTTCCCCGATTGTAGCCTAGTGTTCGTTACATTTGTGCGTGAATTTCGGTGACCTTTACGAAGCAAACACTCCTCAAGCGACAGCCATCGGGCCATTTCCACTCGCGCACTTCAAACTAGGGCGCATAAAACCTTGAAAGGAGGACATGCTCATTGAATATGCAGTTCACTTTCGTGCAACGCCCTCACTAAACCGCCGCTTAATAGCCTCTATTTGCAAATATCCAAGGACAAAGAAGGCAGACAGTTTATTTGCCTATCGGCACTGAATAGTGGCCAGATATCGGGTGTCAAAAGAAAACGCGCAACATACGCGTTCAAAGATAGCGAAAATTTGTATACCTCGTTTCGAGAACTGTGTGCGATGCAGTGAAGGTTGTATAACAGTGCGGATATATTCAAATGTATGACCCTCACCCTACAGATACTCTGCTGCACCATTGCCTATATACATCTTTAGCTGTTGCTTAGTCTTGGCTCCACTTCGTATAATTAGTGCGGACGGGTATCGAGAAAGCGTCTATATGTCATGAATGTGTAATGGTTATAGTGTACACAAATGGGAGAAAGAAACAAGGGCCTCGCACTATATCTTCGCCACGACCACATCGCCACATGTCGAAAGAAAGAAAGAAAGAAAGAAGGAAAGAAAGAAAGAATGAAAGAAAGAAAGAAGGAAAGAAAGAAGACCTAGACAAGACTAAAGCAAACGGACTCCTACCCGTGTTTGCAGAGCGCTTCATGCGTCCTCACCGGCGCCGCACTCAGGCACCCACGCTTGTCCAAGGTGCTGACGCGAAAGTCACGCGTCGAAGGCTAGTAGGCGGGCTTCCACGCGCGCACTCGAACACACGCGACGCACGCATTCACAACGCGGCGCGCTAAACAGCCTGTCTGGACGGCACAGCGGGTTCTCGCAAAGGTGGCGGCTGCGGCGCAAGAAGAAATGCAACGAAACCACACGTGGGCAGTGCACGAGGTGCGTTGCTGCGAAGACGTGTACTATGGTGGGAGTCCCGGAGAACGGTGCAAGCAGTGCGTGGCACGAGGTGGCGTCGCGTCGCGTATAGAAAGAGGCGACGCGTCGACCCGCAGTAACTACTGGGCGTTCCATACGCGCTCGGTTTGTATTTCGTGCAGCTTCGGGGGGTATCGACCGGGCTCACGAGTCGCGTTGCCCCGCTGGTCCCGGCCCGAACAGAATGTTGGCGCGGTGGTTTGCATGACTCACTCACGGTGAGCGGGGAGGCCCGTTCGGGGAGGGCGAGAGAGGGTTCGGGGAGAGCGCGCGGTTCGGACCCGACGCAGAGCGCTGCGGCGCGAGTTTTGTTATTATGCATATTGGATTTTTTTTTAAATTTTCCTTGCGGTACACGCGGACCTGGTCCGACACGCTGCGGATGTCAGTGTTTGCTGGAAGTATGCCGCTTTTACCGCAAGCAGTGATTCAATCAACCTTCTCCAAGTATGGTCGATCTTCCCTTTGCTTGTAACTTTAACGTTAATTGGTCGGTTTACATAACGAGTTTATATGACTGGGTAATACATCTACTTTGAACAATTCTGACCATGCGCGAAACAAGATAAGTGACCATCTGAATGCGAAAACAGTGCAGTTGGTGTATTCAGACAAAAAGCGTGGCATTTAGTGCGCTGATTTATGCATGTGAAGATTATGGCTGCACATTATAGGTCATTTAATGTTGCTGTGGCACCAATGCACCACCTGTACTCGAGCCCAAGAACAGATGGGCCGGTATGTGAGTCAGGAAGGTTAACATGACATACGTTCAATTTGGTATCCTGCCGGAAAAAAATAATAATAAAAGGGTGAAAAAAAGCACTAGTCGAACCCATACTTGGAGAGGCACATAATTGTCTGCAGGCGGTCGCACAGATTTGTCGACTTTAAGCAGGACAATAACGGGTTTGCTGCTTTTTTTTTTTGTAAGTCCCAAAGATGCGCTGTTGACTGTTACAGGGGCCTTGACGGTGGTGCTCGGATTAATTCTCACGTGCCAAGGTTCGTAAACGCACAACTAATTAAGTATAAGCACGTGATCGTTCCTATCATAGCTTGCCCGTGATGTGAATTACGCACAAAATAGCTCCAATACGACAGCTTAGATGACGTCAATGCAGCGTAATCACCTACTGCACTGTGATTACGATGTCGCTGGGACCATATTGAGCCTCTGTGCATGATTAACAAAAAAAAAACGAGCATGTTCTGAAAACACTAACGTACATCACGAAGTTCGAGTCGCACCATGTTGGTGCTACAACGTGGCTGTTTCAGTGACGTCAGGGCAAGCCATTCATAACGAGCGCCGGGTATCGAAGCAACAACCTCTTACCCTAGCAGGAAGCCTAAAGGCGACCGCGCCCCGAACGCACTGAGTTCACACACAACCGAATGACTTCTGCTACAGGACGAGAGTTAACCGCGCGCCGTGCGAGGTTTCAATCCAGACTTCATTGTACCTCTCTTTCCCTCCTTCCACTCATCTCGCTAGCGTCACTTCTCCCCCTTGTTACGTTCAACGTCACCCTTTCCTTCAAACCCATCACAGCTGCTCCCAAGCACGTGCTCCACAAGTATAATGCAATAAAACGAAGAGGATGAATTCGAGGCTTCCGTAACGTATTATGGCAGGCAAGCAGCGACCCCAGGCGTCGGGGTGTGGGGATCGCGCGCGCGATAATGCCAGCGCGAGACGCCGGGGTCGTTTCCACGGTGCGGTGGCCGGGCGCCGCGTCGTGCGATATCCAGCCGCGCGATCGTAAAAACGGCCGCGAAGGGGAAGCGACACTCGCACTGAGCACGTGGGAAATGCTCGCTCGGATGCCCCGGGCCACGAGCGAAGCTCTGCCCATATCAGCGATGGGCATCGAGATTAAACTGTCCTTCGCTGCCCGGTTGGCCCGGGCGAACCATTTTTTTGTTGCACTTTGAATGTTTGTATATGGTCTTTGTAAAGTCTTGCCGTTCTCGAATTCTCGACAATTCGATCTCTCTCTTTTTTTCCCTGTCTCTTTCTCAAGATCCGAGCAAAAGTCGTAAAAAAACGTTTGTACTTCAGGTAGACGGAGATACTCCGTCGCGAACGATCAAAACTTTAGGGAAAGAAAGAGATGATAAGGCTAAGAAGAAACGCGCGAAAAAAAAAAATAGGATGCATAACAAGAGAGAGAGAAAGAGAGCTACGTATGCGACGCGCGTAAAGTTACATCGTAGTTGGAATCCTATGTAGAGTACATCGAAGAAAGAGCAAAGGATTGCAAAACTATTATCTCTGAAAAGGAGTAACTAGCGTTTTGGAAAAGCGTTGACCTCTCCTGAACAACATTAGAAAAAAAAGAAAACACTAATAGGAGATGAAACGCAGAGAGAGACAGAGAGAGAGAGAGAGATACGGACATGCTGACATACTGGTTCTTCAGAGTCTTAACGTCTTCCAGCCTGTTGTCGCGAGATACCGAATCTGAGCTCGTGACTTCAAAGTGGATGCTCAGTAGAGAGCAATGTTAGCATGGCCATCATCCGTAGCCATCTCGATATAACCCGTTAGCGTGTTGACGCTTTTAATTCACGTATAAATTGCTGTTAATTGCCCCGAGGCGGGTCCGCTGGCACCGTTGAAATTTCGTTTCTGTTTCCTTCGCCTTTTTTTGTTGTTGTTGTCGGCAGGTTGCTCTTCGAGAGTCCCAACCACGGTTGTAGGAAACACAAGGCATCATTAATAGGTTCAGATATATTCGCATATACCTGAACCTGTGCGTGGCCTAGGTGAGTAGCTTAGTTGCTAAGAAAGAAAGAGAGAGAGAGAGAAAACTTTATTTTAGTGGTCAATAAATAGAATGGTCTTCGGAGCATTGGGACTCCAATTCGAACACCAGCACCCGTAAGAAAAAAAAAAAACATTATACACTCTAAAATGATATAATGTGGTTCCACCACTTCATAAAGGAAGCAGGTGTTCTGTAATGCTTCAGAGTGCTTCAATACATATCAGTTTTTTTCTTTCACTGCTCTATAAAGGACGCTACCGTTTCCTTTTTTCGCGAAGTCACCCCGAGGTCCTTAAAATTATATACCTACAGACAGCTTCGCCGTAAAGGCATACCCTTGATGCACAATGTCCACATATGCGGACGCAATTCGGAATTGTCAGTTTTTTGGTCTTTGGTCAGTTGAATTGAATTGTCAGTTCTTTGGTCGAGAAAGATGCATATCGCTCACGATGAATTGAACCACCTGTAGATTGAGCGTGTCTATAGCTTAACGAGCTGATCACAGCTGAACGCTTTGGTGAAATCACTAGAATCATAGGTGGCCGCGGGGCGGCCGCCTGGTCCCTCAATACTTTGAGGGACCATGCTAGTAGCCTGGGAAAAAAAAAAGGGGGGGGGGGGTAACAGCTGCCTCATACGTCGGCTTATTAGGGGGCGCTACGACGAGCCTTCGTTCTCCTCCCCCCCACCCCCACCCCACCCCTGAAGGGGGAACCCCGGGCACGCTTATGACTATAGACTGCTCGGGAGGACGTTCAACGTGTTGTATTCCAGGGCAGACGCCAAAGGTATATATTTGCCTCTAAAGTATAATAAAAATGCGCATGCATTTTTAGCCCAGAGGTGTGATTATTTTTATGCGAAATGGAAGAAGGCTGCCTGAAAAGAAGTAAGCAAATGTTTTATTATATGCTGATGAAGACTAGTTGCTGAGCGCGCGCGCGCGCGCGCGCGCACGCACGCACGCACGCACGCACACACACACACACACACACACACACACACACACACAAACATATTACTTTTTTTCCGTGGAGTGTAATTTTTTTAAAACTTATATTTGGCAAAATATGGGAAGGTAAGCTACTTTGGAGCCGGATATTCCAACATCATGACAGTAATGTACAACATAAACACAAAAACACGAAAACTTAAGAAAAAAAGAAGAAAAAACTAATCAGAGGCACTATGTACATACTATATACACTATAGGGCTTATAACTCATGAGTGTAATATCGAGTGACTTGGAATTGTGTGAACCTGACATATTTATTTATTTATTCATTTATTTATTTATTTATTTATTTATTTATTTATTTATTTATTTATTTATTTATTAAAATATTTCAGGGCCCCTAAGGCTCAACTAAATCAGCAGGGGAAACAAGAAATATAATGTGGAGTTAAAAAAGAAAACAGATTAAAGGTCTCTTGCAAAGCGACTTCCCGTGTTATCTATATCAGCTTCTTCCCCTGTTATCAGGTTCGTGATTCGGGGCAGATAGACACAGACACAGATAGTTAGAAAGAGGAGGGTGGCTGCCCACTCACGTTCTGGCACACGATGGGCGGCAGGCTGGCCGCGTTGACGGGTAGCTGCCGGACGGATCCCCTGCCGAGGGCCTCGCGCTTGCGCTGGCTCGAGAAGAGGCGCAGTTCGCGGCGTTCTTCCTCGCAGAGGCCGTTGCAGTAGCGCACCTCCGAGTCGTGCGGCGGCAACTGGTGCAGCAGCTGACGGATGCGGTACTTCTCGCCCACGCTGTTCACGTACGGGACCTTGTCCTCCGGCAGGGACGAGAAGTACAGGTGCACCTGACAACACAGAATCGGCGACTGCGTCACAAACCGATAGCGTCACAGTCTCGCAATAACACTACGCATGCGCATTTCCCCTGGTGGGAAAGTAGCGAACCGCCTCTCGATCTCGGAGGCTTTCGTCCTCGCAATACCATTTCTCCCGGCCCCAACCAAAAAAACGGAGGGCAGCACAAGAAAATGAGAAAGGCTGATTGTATATAGGCAGTTAATGGTGGTGGTGGTTGTAGTGGTTAAGAGGAAAGAGGCGCCTCATTTCTGCTGCCCGGTCGGGAGCACGGCGCAGTGCTTGATGTAATGCTGGTTGTGGTTGTGATTAGAGGAAAGAAAAGACGCCTACTTTCTGCAGCCTGTCAGGGAGCACGGTGCAGCGTCTGACAGGTACACATGCTCCACACTGGTAGAACCTTTCTCCTCCCTTAATCCCCTTCCGCAAGAATGGGAACCACAGCGCATCTGTCTGGCCTCCGTGTCTTCCATTCTTTCTCACTCACTCCATTTTCGCAAGGGTAAAGAAAAAAAAAGCTATTTCACCAGCCTTTTCCTTCTTAGTTTGCGTCGAGCAGAACATGAAGCGTAATGAGAGGAGTGGGAGGTCGAAATGACTCAGCTCCGACTCAACTGCGTTCGCAAGCACTTTGCTTAAAAGGTATGGCGAGTCCGTCCGTCCACCGTATGGGTGGATGGACTCGCCAGTGTGGCAAACAGAATGCCAGAATAACTGTGCTCGCCTCGACTCGCTACACGGAGTCTTACACGAGCGCCGGCGACCTGTTTACTTAACAAAGTTTGAAATTCGTTTTTGGACTAGTTCGTTTATAATCTTAAATACTGGATAATGTGGACACGACACAGGACAGAATTAAGAGCACTGATGCACAGGACAAGTGCTTGTCCTAAACATCCGTGTTGTTTTCTGTTATGCGTAAAATTTGTGCTATCAAGTCAGGACCCGTCTTCTGAACGACCAGAAAACCCGACTAGATTCGAGTCGGAGTGACCTGATCCGTGTAAACGTAGCTTATATGACTATAAGTTGCAAAGCCAGGAGTCTGATGGAGTTAGGTACCCGTGGAAGGTATACGCCGTTCAACTTTATATATTAACTGAGCTTCTCTCTCTCTCCGCCAGGAAATGAAGACGTTAAGAAAGAAACCGTTAAACGTGGAAACATGGAGAGAGTCATAAAGATATAACGCAAGATGTGGCACACTCATAAGAGCTTAATACCTTGTAGAGGCGTACAACACGTTACGAAACCGAACGAGCGCATATGGGGAATCATGAAGCATCCAGCCGTTTCGACCCTCTCGAGCTGCAAGCCTCAGGGGAGTCGTAAAGGTGGAAGACGTAAACAGCACACTTTAATAATGAAAAAAAAAGAATAAAAGAGGAGATTGCTTCGGCTGTACATTTACCACACGCGCCTTCGAATCGGCTCAGTCCCCGGACGTGCCACGCAGCTTTTTAAAACGTGACCGTTAAGAAGTGTGTACGATACATATCTCGATCAGCAGTGCATTCGAATCTCCATGCCATGCAGTAAACATATTGGCAAGTGTTAAAACTCTCTTAGAGTGCTTAATTAACAGAGTCTGCCGAATTCGTTTGAGTTTCTGACACAACGGGCTCGCATTTCAAACAACTGTAAGTGGGTCATATGCTATTCATTTATACATAATTACAAATACACTACAGTGTACTTGTTCCACTCGCTCTTAACGAACAATACAACACACACAAGGTCCACCGACGAGTCCTCTTAATGCACCGATACAACCACAGTAAAACAAAACATACGGGAGTGTCTCGAAAGGCCCGCATACAGAGAACCCCGCAATACGCAAACCATCCACTCATGAGAAAAAAGGCATGGAGGAGCCATGGATATGACCAGTCATGCCTCTACACTTGATATTCTGCCTGTGAGGGGCGTTATAGTCTCTTTATTATTATTTTTTGTCCTAAACTCTTGCAGATCAGCGAGCTACTCGAGCTCGTAAAGCGTCTTCCGACTCAGTTGACACTTATCTTATAGAATCACTAATCATAAATTAAGCGGAAAGAAAAGCTTTAGAAAATCGTCGCCTCTGGCGTGAAGTAATCACATCTATCGCTACGTCGTTAATTAAAGAGGATAGTCGTGACGGAGCGCTTGAATATTCACCGAATTAAAAGTTATCGGTTGCCTAAAAGAATTCGATAACGCGAACGCGCTGGCAATTTGCGATGTGAAAGCGAATAGCAAAATTAGCAATTAGCAGTCGCAAGGGTAACATCTCCCCGAATTCACGCGAGCGCTCAGTAGTGGTTATAACCGGACGCATCGAACTCTGAGAAGCGCGGACGTCATATGCAAACTAGCACGTTGTAGATAACGCATGTAGATATTTGCACCGTCACGCCTGTCGTCTAAAATTACTAACGAGGCAGAAAAGCGATACGTGACGCGTTGTTGGGGCACGTCCAATCTCGTTGAACGTGCGCTGGCTACCTGTGCAGCCGATGGAAAGGCAAAATATCGGAACTGGTGTACGCGTTCGGATACTGCTGCCGCGCATTGAGTCTTGTTTGCCAGAACACTGAGAGATATATATAGGGGGAAGAGCTGACTGCTATCGAATTGCGCGCACATAACGCCCGACTCCGCGTACTGTCATGTCTGTCATCCAAATGTCATCAATTCACCGGATAGCGATTCTAATCCCCGATTATAGCAGTACAGTACGTGCAAACACGGACCGAAGGAAAAGGTCAGGACACCACATACGCGCCTGTCCTTTTAGAATGAATAAGCACCAACTACCTCAGCTAGCACTGCTATTCAAGCTACGAATTTCGAATGAGAGGTTAAGTTATCTTTCATAACCGTAAAAATAGCTATTTGTCGTTAGCGTACGATGGATTCCACTCAGGCGGGCGGGGGTCTTTGCAGCGACCTGTCCCCTATTTCTCATTAAATTCATGCATAGAGCGGACCCCCCCCCCCCCCGCACACACACACACACACACACACACACACACACACACACACACACACACACACACACTTATGTGACTCGTGGGGCACAGTTATGTCTAATGTAGTTATACGTGCATTCGTAGAGCAGCGGGAACACTGAAACATAGAAACCATCGTGAGAGCTAGCGCAAGTGAACGTGACACACAAGAAGAAACTGACGAGGACAGGCATTAACTCGCCCAACATTCAACTCTTTTGGAGAAAAAGTAACATGCACTTTCTACACTCACATTTACTACCCAAAAAGAAAGCATTTTTTTTTTGCGGCATGTCATTCACTTCCTAAAATGATTGCATTCCAAACCGTGTTTACTTTTTTTATTATCCTCGAATGATATATACAACCACGCTCAATATAATTAGCCCGAATTCTGCCGTTCTCAAAGCACTGCCTGTAGTTCACGGTGGCGCCGCCATGAAGAACAATCAGCGACGTAAACACTGCGTCCCCTGCTGGTATTTCCAACAGCATCACGTTTGCTGTTGTTACAGTGTATAGTCTTGAAGCACCTTCAACTATGCCACCGTGCCGCAACTAAGATTGAGCGCCACTGCACGTCAATATACTACTGACCTGTAGTTAATGGTATACGTCGCAGGCTAGGAGTGATTACGGGCAATAAAACATTTAAACGCGTCTCACAAAAAAAAAAAAACTAAAATGAGTCATGCACGTCTTGAATCACTATAGCCCATGTGTATACACACCGGTACTGAAACCTCGAGAATGTACGGCGCGACACATCTTACGGGCACAGGCGGGGCGTCGGACCAGTCGTATATACGTCGAACAAAATATATCGCCGCCCATGTATCACGTCTACACTCTCGAAGTGCGGTGAACCGTGTGCGTATAAACCGGAAAGTCGTACGAAGCGGACCTGCTTGCTGCGTTCGGACACTTACAAGCGCAAGAGAAAGCGTCGCGTGGGTCCTCGATGTCGTCCCACTAAAATAGTGCACACACTCTGCACTTAAATACATCGAGATAAGAAAGACGTAAGCAAAAAAAAAAAAAAAAAATAGACGAGGTGTTTATAAGAAGTGGGCTCGCTGCAGGGCTAGGGACGCACTGTATAGCTCCACTCCTAATTTAGTGCGCGCGTTTGCGGTGCGTGTACAACCCCTTTGTATGGTATAGCAAGCTGTAAAAGTGCGCCGCTTCGACGACTCCCTCCTGCAAGGCAGACAAATAGATGGAGGATGGAGACACGCGCCCCCAATAGGCGGCGGCCCGCACTATCGAAGAAATATTACGCGTACGGGCCGAAAGAGAGCGCTATCTATAGATTTAAGTGCGTGCGTAATGCTTACTCGCCTCTTTCTTTCTCCGGGGGTTATACAGTTTGCGCACTGTGCTCGGCTAAAAGTAGCCCAGCCCTTGCGTGTTTTTTTTTTCTAGCTGACCAAGAATACTCGCTTGATTAAGGCTATTATTTTTTCTTTTAAATCGCAGAACGACTCTATATTGAATCAATTTATAAATATTCACATCCCCTCCTAAACGAAAACAGTCCATATTAACCTACGGACGTTGTTCTGGGGACTCTGTTTAGCGTGTGAAACCGTTCGTTAAATACGAAACTTCCTTTTTTAAGAGTTGTCTTTACTCGCTCCAGAGAACGTTTACCTCGGTCGACCCGCTTCAGAAGTCACACCCCACCGGGAGTGTAAAAACTCCCTGTACACACTGAGAGAAATAATGGACGGAGATTTACTCCCGAACGAAGGCTTAATCACTAACGGCATCATCTAGTCTACGTGGCGGTGGGCCATGCATAGCTGGCTGAGTATACTTCCATGGGTGGTCTTGACAGCGCGTTCTCGTTAACACATGGTCTATACCAGCGAGTATTTTAAAAAAACTGTCAAGCCCTCCAAACATGCCACTTGTCGTATTTACTTTAAATTGTACCGCGACCACAATAGCGACGCGAGGGGTGACAATTCTTTGAATTCGGGAAGAACCAAATA